CTCTGCAACTCGGGAACAGTGGAAATCTTTGTGCCCGTGGTGGTAGCCAAAACAGAGTTGATGGCGGCTAAGTAGGTAGCTAGCGTAGTACCCTTCAGTTTCTTAGTAGTGCTGAGATGCTGGAGAAACTCAGCAACGACCTGAGCCGAGGTGGGCCATACAATTCACCTAAGCTTGCAATAGTCTTCAAACTTCTTCCACTTGTTGTCGTACAAGGAATGGGTCGAAATACGATGCTCTGAAGTGATAGCTGTGGCTACTCGGCGAGAGTAGCCCTTAGCTATGAGAGACCTCTGAAGATGCGACAAACGTGTAGATTGAGGGTCTGAGGTGAACCGTGGCGCAGTTCCGAGTGAGGGTGAAGAAGTAGGTCCTCCCGGTTGGGAAGCGGTACTGGGTTTGGCTCTGCCAGGCTTCTTAGGTTGACGAACCAACTTCTTGCTGGCCCGAAGGGTGCGACCAAAAGCAGTAGTATGTTGCTGGTGGCCAACAGTTTCTGAATTACTTTTGGTAGCAGAGCTGAAGGGGGGTGTAGGCATTGAGACCCTCCGATGATATTGCCAACGCGTCGAGGTCCCACGCCAAGGAGTCTGGGATTGGTGATACGAACTTTGGAAGTTGGTTGCGAACAGATCTATTTGAGGCCGTGATAACGGGTAGATCATCGACTGAAAGCTCTGGGGCAGTAACTTCCACTCTGTCGGGGACGGTCGGTTGGATCGGGACAAGGCATCGGCGATCACATTTTTTAACCCGGGAATGTGTCTGGCTCTGACTACGATGTTGAGTGAGTCGATGTAGCAGATTCGCCGAGCCAGTCGAGCCTAGATGATTTATATACCAAACCACTGTCGAAATGTCTGATTGGATCAACAGACTGGTTGATTGAAGCTCTGTTGCCCAATGTGAGATGGCTTGAATAACCGCCTTGAATTCCAGCCTGTTTATATGAAGTACCCGTTCGTCGGATGACCACAACCCTGCCACTTTGTGGTTGAGGAAGTGAGCTCCCCAACCCATGAGGGATGCATCGACAAATAGGTGATGAGTCGGTGCAAAGGGCATCATAGAGACTCCGGCGCAAACATTCCATTCGTCGAGCCACCATTGAAGGACTGGACGAAGCGGTTCTGGGAGGTAAATTAATTCCTTGGGGTTGTCGGCCTCAAGGTACGGGCATAGAAATCACTGTATCGGCTGAAGTTGGAGCTGGCCTCTGTACGTTAAGGCTTGAGCTGAAGTCAGAAGGCCCAGTAGCTCCTGCCACTGTCGTAAGGTTCTTGCCTGAGACAGTCCTGGAAGAATGCATTGCTGAATCTTTATCCACCTGTCGTGAGGTACGAACATCATCCCCTGACAAGTGTCGAACAGTGCTCCGATGAATTGGAGTTTCTGAGGCGGTATTAGTTCCCGATTTCGCGATGTTTAACGGCCACCCTAACTGTCTGAGCAGTGTGTTGGTGAACTGTAGCTGGCGAAGCAATACGATCGGATCCTGTTGAGTCTGGATGCAATCGTCTATGTAGCTTTCGAAGGTGATCCCTTGAAAGTGGAGGAAGCTTGTTATGGGCTTGGTAATTCGGGTAAAACGACACGGAGCCGTGGAAATTCCAAATGGTAGGACTTTCCATTGGTAGTGATTCCCGTTGAACATGAGGCGAAGGTACTTCCGGTGTTCTTGATGTATCAGAATGTGAAGATAAGCATCCTGAAGATCTAGGCTGATGAGGAAGTTTCCCTTTTTCAGGATGGTGCGTAAAAGTTTGATCGACACCATCCTGAAGTGAGGCGGGGAGGCAGGAATCGGGCATTGAACAACTTCATATTGAAGATGAGCCGGAGTTTGTTGGAATTTTTCTTTGGAACCAAGACTGACTGAGTTTGGTTTTACGCCGCTTTTAGCAATATTCCAGCAACATCACGGCGGGGGACACCAGAAATGGGCTTCACACATTGTACCCATGTGGGGATTCGAACCCGGGTCTTCGGCGTGACGAGCCAACGCTTTAACCATTAGGCTACCCCACCACCCCTTGGAACCAAGAAGATGGGGGAGCAGAATCCTGGAGTGATGGGCGATGGACCTAGGAGCTCTATCGCAATGTTTGTCTAATAGCGTACCTATTGTGGATTGCAGAGTCTGAAGCTGGTCCACAGGATATGAGCGATGAGCCGGATGCGACGTCAGAGGTGGACTGCCAATAACAGGTAGCTGATAGCCGTGAAGTAGCAGGTTGGTGACGCACTGATCTTTGAGGATGGTCCAATTCGGGGTGGAGATCTGCAACTAGTCCGGGTCGCTGTAGTTCTAGTTGGTGATCTGGTTCTGATTGGAGCTCTGGTTCGACCATCTGAATAGGATCGGCCATGAGATGTGGATCTGTACTGTGATCCCGAGTAGTCAATGGCTCTGTGATCGTGTGATCTGGATCTATAAGGTGATCTGGATCGAACAGATGATCTGGTTTGCAGCTACGATCTGGCTTGATTTGGTTATCTGGATTGGTTAAGTGATCTACTTTGATGTTGTGATCTGGATCGGTTCGGTGATCTGGCGGTTAGGTGATCTGGATTGATCAGGTGATGTGGATCGTAGTTGTGCTCTGGATCGTGACTGATCTGGATCGGGCTTGTGATGGTGATCTAGATCGTTGTGGTGATCTAGAATGATGTGGCGATCTGGATAGGCGATTAGGTGACGAAACCTGAAGTGTTCATTCATGATGAATGTCCCCCGGCGACACTGTTGTAGCCAGCTCCGTCCGGTTCAATGAACTGTTGGGAGACAGTTGGCTGGTTGAACACGGTTGGCCATGCTCCAACCAACTGAAACAGTCGAGGGGATATGTACCGTTGATCTGGATGATAGTGTCGATCTAAGGTCCCCTGGTAGTGTAGATGGGACAGGCAACGAAGAATTGTCGATCACAACCACCCGCGAGTGATCTGACGCTATGGAAGGAGGTGATTGATGCGTATGTAATAGGTGCCGAATGTCCTCAGATAAATAAGAATCTGATGAAGCGTCCATAAAATCCTCTTGAACCACAGATGTCGCTCTCTTGCGTGAAGGTACGATTTTCTGTCGCTGTAACTTTCCGGGAGCAAACATGAATGTAGGCCTTAAAATCCTCATCTTTAAGTGAATTACACTTGCCACATCGTTTGTTCCAGTTACATTGTCCAATACAGTCACTGCAAGACGAGTGAGGGTTGAGGGACGAATAATTCGTCTTGCATGGAGCACAAACTTTCCTCTTCCTTGACTGATTATCAGTTTTCCCCATGATGTTAGGGTGAAATAATGTCCCTAATATACAGCATGTCCACACAGTCATTCGACAAGAAAGAGAATGATCATTCAAGGTAGTCACGTGGGCAATTAGTGGAGCATGCTGCAAGCTTGATTAGGAACTAGGAAGCTAATTAAGGAGAGCAGCACAGCCAGGACTCATTAAAACAGCGTCGAACTGCACGGGCGAATGGACAAGGAGGCCTCTGGAAAAAAGTTTACAGTCGTTCAACTAAAAGTTGAGGCAAGAGAGAGAGGCAAGTCGTGAGATGGGATAAGTTTAAAAATTTTCTTGTTCTGTCATGATTTGTTTTTGGTATTCACTAACACTAGTGTGGTCTCTATCTAAACAACCTGGCCAAAACTTCAGTATTTTGAGAGGATATTGGAGATTAAGACAGAACCAAGTTTTGGTATCTGAAATAAACAGGTGCTGTACAACGTTTAGGTCAGTTTTTCCTTGACTGGGAATAAATGCTGAGACTGATGACATACTCAGATGATTGTTTAGGTAGAGTCCACTTTATATAACAGACATCCTCACCCACGTTGTGAGAAGTTAATGAAAGTTACACAGCCTAATGGAAGAATCCTTGGTAAGCACACTAAGCTGAAAACTCATTGGACCTTTGGTCCAGGTGAGCTAAAAATCTGGACCATTGATCTTGGTGAGCTTAAATTCTATCGATCTCTGTACAGAGAATTTTGTTATTTATAACAAAACATTCCACCAATAGCCTGAAGAAGGCCTGTTAGCATATGGTTAAACAGATTTGACTAATTTACAGAAACTGCAAAAAAATTCTATAAATGTTGAGGCTTCTGGGTTCAATGGGACCTGATTATCTAGAAAAAGCAATTGTAATAGTTAACAACTTGAAACCAGAATTTTTCAAATTTTGTGTTACCATTTACTACTCCATGCCAAGAATATAAGAAAATTACCATAAGGCTGTAAAACAGTATGCAGGGCTCGATTTAGTGCTTTGTTACTTGCACTGGTGCAACCCAATATTACAAAGTGCAACCTAGTTATAAGTTGAACTTGCACCAGGTGCAACTCAATTTTTGAGTGGGTAACCTCTGAATAAAACATCTAAATAATTCAATAGCATATTTCTTACATTACACATTGCAATAAAAGCTGTGCAATTGGAATTTGGCTGGTGCAACTAGGTTTTTATCTGGTTGCAAGTAGGTTAACATCTCTTAAATCGAGCCCTGGTATGTGGTATCTTGGTCAACATGGCAAGCAAGGTAGCCATCTTGAAACATGTTTCATTTTTTATGACCAAAATGCTGCTATATATTCATTTAATCAGTCTACACAATCTGAAATGATGATCTTCAAGAATGCAATGTAGTAAGCGAGTTTTGAATGAGTGAGTTTAGTTTTATGCTGAGTTCAGCAATATTTCAGCGACATCATGACGAGGACACCAGTAATTGACTTCACATGTTGTACCCAATTGGGAATCAAACCTGGGTCTTTGGCGTGACGAGTGAATGCTTTAATCGCTAGGCTACCCCACCGCTGAAGAATCCAATGAAGTACATGAAGACACCAAATCTTGAGGAACATGGACACGGTTAGTTTTAATACGGATGGCATCACGAACCGCTTTGAAATGTACCCTTGAAGAAGGTCCGTGCAAGAAGCAAACGTATGCTTAAATACTTAACATCATACATATAACAAGCGCAGATATTATCAAATATCAATGATGACCGATTTATTACAGAAACGCAGCGAGATTAATACATAACTATGAAAAGTAGTCAGCACGATTGGTATGAAATATGTAATTACAATGAGGAAAACATTGGCGACTTGTAACAACATGAAAGTAATGAAAGGCGAGTTAATGAATCTATCGAAATTGTTACCACGACCGCCACTGTTAAAAGCATGAAGTAATAACTGTTCATGGATACTGGTTTCAGGAGCTAGCTGTGCGAGACGCATTAAGTCCGTATTGAAGAGTTCGTGTATATTAACACTCGGAGCTCCTTTCCGCAAAGTCCTGATGTATTCATCGCAAATTCTTCGTCACGTTAAATCTTTGCGCCCGACTATGTCAGTATGGACCAGGCACGCGACTTCTCGGAGGAGACGACCGACTCACTTCTGACGGGTGATGTGGAGGAGGGTAACTGTTCGTGCAAATCAAGAAAAGACAGTTGGAACGCTTGTATGATAGCATCACAGGGTTCATACAGATTAGGATCCTAAAACTTCAAGGAATTTGTAATACAAAATTTCATTTAAGGGCTGAATGCAACAATAGTGATTAAACTCAATCATTTTTACTGAGCAAGTGTTGAGATGACTTTTCATTTAATTCCTCAGGGAAAGTCATCTTAAAAAGCATGAAACTAGACCAGTGCCTTACACCAAAACCACCCCATTTCTTCATTGTTGAAGTCAAATAAAAATCTAGAATTGAAACAAGTAAAATTGAAGGACAGTTTTCGTAGTTCCAGAATAACATGATATTAAGTGTTCTTCATTGCAAACTTGAAAGAAATTCAAGACAACAGTAACTGTCGAGCCCTGTTTGCACCCAGTGTGAAAGATCTTTAATTTGCAGACAAATCTATCATCAGCACTGAACATTCTGAAACAATACGCACATTTCCATATCTTCATCAAAATGGATTTCATGAGGTTTCATGTGACAAGAATATATTTTTGAAGATTTGAATTCAAAATATCATTGTAAATTGTAAACTATCTAGTCATGATTTTTTTTCCTATAAATTCTAGCTTTGGATCTGTTCTTTCCTATATAAAGTTTCAATGACCACAAAGCAAGAAATGACTCGTACAATCTATAGTTCAGTAACATACAGGTGATAACGCCAATCGCTTGGAATAAAATTTGCAAATCAATCAACAAATAAAAAGCACGAGAATTAAAAAAATTGGCATAACTTAAACTGGATAAATAGACTATTGATACCTACCTTAAAACTACTGAATTTAATCAAAGCAAGTTTGTAAGTTGAAAATTTCAAAGATTGCAGAAACCAATATGGCAGCCAAGGCCCATATCAAAGAGGAAGTGAGTGAGTGAGGGAGTCTGGCTTGATGCTGCTTTGTATGTCATGTTGATGTTAATGTGCAACTTTGGGGAAAGGTTTGCTGGCAGACCAGGTAAAGTAGTAAAGGAATCTGTGTCTTTAACAAGAATAGCTTGGCACAGCCACTGAACACAGCTCTGAACAGAAAAATATGCCACCTTAAACAGCCACGCTAACCTAAGATTCAAACCTAATGTGTGTGTGTGTGTGTGTGTGTGTTGTGTGTGTGAGAGTGATGATTTTTATGGAGAAGCATGTACAATGTAAATGATCCCCCCCAGTCCCCTGTATGTGATGAACAAAGTCAATTACCCCCCTCCCATAAACTTTAAGCATAACTTCTTAATATTATTATGTACAAAATTGCTCCCCGCCCCTCCTAGTACATGTGTACATAACTGATGACCCCTCCCACCTCCCCAGAACCAAAATGGGTGACCCCCCTTCAAATCATTGTCACCCCCTCTAGCCATAAATTATGAACGGTCCCTTACATTGTAAAGTTCATAAACTTGAAAGTTTTAGTGTCCATTATTTGAAGACCTCTTGTTCAATTCATTAAGGATGGCAGCTCTGCAAAACCAGTGGCATAGGTTTAATTTTCTAAGGCAAGGAACCGCTTCCTTAAAATTGGATGGAAAAAGCCAACTTTGCAGAAACTTCACAAGTTTCACCTTTCACATGAAAAATAATATATGCAAAACAAAATATCAAATAAAATAGATTGGATTTAACAAGAACATCTAATAAATTTAGATTGAAGCAGTTTAGAAACCATGTGTATATTACATGCGAACTGCTGAAAAAAGGATTATTTTGCATTAAAAAATTGTTGTAAAAGTCACAAGTCATTTCACTCTTGGCTGGCAGTAAGCTGGTTAGTAACTTCTTCAATTTCGTTTAATTACACAACCACATTTAAGGAAACTTTACTACATGTACTAATATTCCTTTATTATTAATGCAAAATCCACATCTACTAGAGCCAAGGCATCTTTTTCGCTTCCAAAAATGCTGAAGAGAGTGGTCACTTCAACACAATGCATGGTCAAGTGTTGCATTGCTTCTTGTATTTTATTCTCCAGGCAATAAAATATACTCTAATTTGCATGACAGATCAGTTCTGGCAAACAAGAATTCCCATGTTTCCGACTTCCAAATTCTCTGACTTGAGATACATGATCACTATTTCCATATCTACAGCAGGTAGAAGCTGGACATTACAACAGTCAAACTGAAGCAACTCGGCAAAAAAGTCTCAAAAATAACAAACACCTCATAAAAGTCACACTTACTTTGGAGACTGGCCAATTTTGGAAACATTCCTACCAAAATAATGAAAACAAAATATTGTGATTAACATTCGTTGATCACTTAACACACAGTTATTCTTCTCTGCATGACTGATAAATTTGTATCATCTTGATTTTGGGCTGGACAGGTAATACTTTGAATGTTGGTACACATGAGGTACATTCAACACAAAGGAACAAAAAAGCTCCAGCAATAAGTGAGGAAATACTTACCGACTTCGGGCATAGTAGCTGTCATAGCTGTCATAATAAGAATCCCTGAAACAGCAATAATGACACATAAATGTTTGGTTAAAGGTCACATGCAACCAAAAAATCAAACATAATTAAAACACAATTATCACTTATTCATGACATATAATATACATTGCTGGTAATGAAAAAACATATAAACAAAATTATAAGCGTACAATCGCAAATCAAAAGTGCAAAATTGTGTACTTCGGTTTACTTCCCAAGAAACGAAGCAGCCGGGATACCGAACCCAGTCAGAGCGGGTGGGTGTGCACTCAAGTGTAACGGCTGGTTCATTTGCAGATGCCTTCACGGCTCATTGTGTGTGTATATATAGAGATGTTGGGTTTTGTAAATACATGCTCATTTTTTGTGTATAACATTTTGCAATCAACAGACATCATAACATGTCATGTGTTCAAGTATCACACCTGCCTGTAATTACATAATGTGACAGAGACCGAACTCGGGCCATAAATCAATGCATTTTGTTTATGGTGTATAGCCTGATTGGTGTTAAGTTCAAATTGCATGTGGTCAGTGATAGCAGCTGTGTATTGAATATTGTCATTAGCAGACAGGCAGGCAGACACACAGGTGTCAATAAAACAAGACATTGAGTTTTGTCTGTGACAACGACATATCTATATCACAGTTAGAAATTCTGTCAACGCTAAATAATTACATTGCTTTTAAGTATCGAACTGAGAAAGTGACTAGGTAAGAAGAACGTGTGGTGAAATAGACAAATGAAATTATATAAACAGTTAATTTACTGTCATAACATATAAAAGCTCAGCGCTGTGAGATATCAACAAAACATTAGAAAAATAGCTCACACCAAAGCCTTCACCGAAAGTATTCACCCGACAACCCGCCTAAGCCAAGCGCTGAACCTATTTCACTGGCGACGCGTGCTATGAGCGCAGCCCAGCTGTTGAAACCCGTTTTCCCCAGAAAAGTCGGGGGAAAATTAGTGAAACGTTTGAACTCCGATTTCGTGCGGTTTTTTTCATCGCGTTTTTTTTTAACTTTATAAGTTGAATTTGCATTTTTGACAATTTGTTTCAGTAAGTCCATACCGAAAGGTATCAGAATCTGCAAAGTTGTGTTTTACATTGCATGTGACCTTTAACAGATGCGAGGAAGGGAAACAATGGTGCAATCAATTTTCAACAGATGATCTTTGTTTCCACAAGTTGCAACAATAACTACAACTATACAGGGATTTACATGGAGTCCTGTATTTCAGAGGCCCTGGGACTCATACTCATAATTTATAGGGGTCCTGGACAACAAAATGGGGGTCCCAGACAATTAAGTATTACTATTAATACTATTATTGTATTGTGTATCATGATCATCACATTGTTACAGTAATTAAATTGCAAACAAGAAGACAAAAGTCATCAATATCCCCCGCAATGGCAAAATACTCTTCATGAATATGTCTATGAGATATGATTATGTCAAATGTTTTGGTGTGTATATAGAAAAGTGGAAGGAGTGCACTGAAAGGTTTTAAAAGTTGTGCTCCAGAAAGGATCACTACCACCAGTTTCAGTCTAAGTCAAACTTGTTTGCATGGAAATGCAAAGATTTTTATTCAGAAATCGAAACAACCAAAAGGCACAAGTACACCACCAGACCAATCTATGTCGTATGTGCCAAGTTTGGTGAAGAAATAGTGAATGGTTTTAGAGTTCTGCTCAGGGAAAAGACAATTTAACAATATTCCAGCAATATCTAGAAACGGGCTTCACACATTGTATCCATGTGCTGAATCGAACTTGGGTCTTTGGCGTGACGAGCAAACACTTTAACCACTTGGCTACCCCACCTCTCCTTTCACTATCAAGGTGCACAAGGTACTCTTGGTGAACAGAGGAAAATTTGAGCAAAGTCTCTATCCTTTGGCAACACCACATGTGCCTCACTGTGGGTTGGACCTAAGATTGATTATGCAAACATGGTACCTTTTTAAAATGTTTAAGAAAGTCCTTTAACCATGTTGACAATATCACTGATTTTGCCATCTTCATCAACAAGATGGACAGTGGCTTACCTTGGGGGTGGTGACCTCCTGCCATAGTATTCAGGTGGGGGCCTCTCATATGGGTCTCTTTCTCTGTAGTATGGGTCCCTTGGGGGTGGGGGAAGCGGGCGTCGATCATACGGGTCAGCATACGGCCTGTATCTGTCTATTGGTGGAGGTGGTGGTGGGTAACGGTCTCGATAGTATGGATCTGCATAAGGATCCCTGTAGGGCCTTTCATATGGATCATAACCTCGTCTTGGTCCGAGAGGAGCCCTTCCACGACCTCTAACACTGAAACCACCAGTCAAGTTCATTGGAGGTGAGGTGAGGTGAAATTGGGTTTAACGTCGTGCTTGAGAATATTTCGCTCATATGACGATGTGCATGCGTGTGTATGTGCGGCTGCTCGTACTAGCCCAGACTGAAGCTGGTTTTATAGTGCTAGCCCACTGAGATACCATGCCGCAGTGAAGCAGAAATACCACACTCAGACACATTATACTGACTCCGAGCCGACCAGTCCTTGTTGTACCCATTAATGCCGGACGCCTATTTTAACGTCTTTTGGTATTACGCGGTCGGGGATCAAACCCGCGACCTTCCGCTCTCCGGGCGGACGCTCTAACCACTACACCACGGAGGCGGTCCAAGTTCATTGGAGATGGAACAGACACACCTACTGCTAATGAGGGATGTCATAGAGTGGAGTGAGTGGGTTTAGTTTTACGTCGCACTCAGCAATATTCCAGCTATATGGCGGCGGTCCGTAAATAATCGAGTCTGGACCAGACAATCCAGTGATCAACAGTAGGAGCATCTATCTACGCAATTGGGATGCGATGACATGTGTCAATCCCAAATATTACATGTTTCATAAATGGAGAGAATACATTGCTAAACAACTAAAATTCTTCACAATTTCGTGTTTAGATATTGACAAGGCTTGAGTTTCAAAATAATGTCACTGAAAGTGTCTGCTAGTACTTACGGTCCCCTTGGACAGTCTTTGGACCTGGAAAGAAAAAGAATTCAGAGGCATGATTTCATGTAAGATTTACCAGTTCAACCAAGCACATATAAAAGTGTTAGCCACTAACATGGCAATTTGCCCCTGAAATGACTGGTGTCTGCGTAATCACTCAATGTAGGCTGTCAACATAATGAAGACATTGGGTGCACAATTTATGAGATATTGTGTTAACATAAGTTTGAAAAGAGGTCAAAGTGTTGTCATGACCTTGAAATAATTCCCTAATGTAGGCTGTCACCAAATTTTAAGATATTGAGGACAACAGTTCATGAGATATCCTGTTAACAAAAATTGGGACCGACGGACGACACTGGTGAATACATAGTCCGCCAGAGGATGCTGAATGCTTCAATTCTAAGCAGATATCACCAACCTGGGAATCACTGCAATGTACTTCAAATAAATCATGTCTGAGGCTACAGTGAGGGAGTGAGTTAGTATGGTTTTACGCCGCTTTTCGCAATATTCCAGCAATATCGCCGCGGGGGACACCAGAAATGGGCTTCACTCATTGTACCCATGTGGGGAATTGAACCCAGGTCTTCCGCGTCATGGGTGAACACTTTAACCACTAGGCTTCCCCACCGCAGCAACATGACAAGTAAACAGTCTCCCTGAAAGAGGTTTTACCATACTTTCAATAAATAAATTGTCCACATATTGTAGAAATGACATTACCAGTGTCCTTCCTTCCCACATCTGTAGCAGTCTCCCTTGCCTCCCATCCCAGCCTTCTGTCGAACCTTGCTATGTGACAGCTGAAACAAGGAGGAAGGAATCTGTGAGTGAGTGAGTGAGTGAGTGAGTGTATGAGCTAAAATATATCTGATAGTGACATGAAATCAATCTCGTCATCATGTCCTGGACAGGCAAAGGTTTTGATAAAAGATCCCTGTGGTTCATAACATCACAGAAACATTGTTTCCACAACAAAGTACATTTTGTACATTTCCTTCCCACATTAATCTCTTTACGACTAGAAAAGGCGGAATTTATTTAAGAAATACAGTTCGCTCTACCACCATGTATAGTGTAATAAAGCACACTTTCGCCCTGAACTATTATAGTTAAAGCATGAAGACGCTCGAGTCTGAGTGCTTTAACGTTATGATGCCGTTTCTAAGATGCCAAATTTAATACTTTCTAAGGACATTTACGATTAATCTAAGGCAGAAAACAAACGATGTGTCGGTGACCTAAATTACGAATCCTCGCACAGGGCTATGTGATGCGCTGTTCTCTTGACGTGTCTGCCCACTACGTTAAGACGAACGTTACCAGAAAAACAAATGATAAACAGTTTGATGACAGTTTACGTTCGGGTTCAAAATATTCTCTAAATTATTTTTATTACATCTGTGATTAACGTAAACCATATGGGGCAATATGAACGTTGTATTTCTACTACCAACGTAAGTTTAGATCAGTACATCCAGATGAAGCTGACTAGTCAATCGACATTCCACTATTGCATTGTGGGAATGTAAACATTGCGAATGTTATTGTTAATGTGTCGTAAAATTGTCAGTCGATCTGAGACATTTTATCCGCCGGAAAACATAACGTAATGTTTCTACCAGTGATATTGGCTGAGTGAAGCAACTGCAAACCAAGAAACGGAATGCAACGGAGTACTTTACTGTAGGAGGCTGTACGAGGCGATGACAACTGACATGCATCGTGACGCCGGTTACATTGTGGCATAATGCAAAAGTGTTCGATCACGAGGGGGCAGACTAGAATGACGCAGTGACGTAATGCAAAAAGTGCACATTATCGTCTGATAAAGTACTGTCGGCGCCTTTGATCTTTCACCGAAACATCTTAGAAATCGTTTTAAGGTCACAACGGAATGACAAGACACAAATCAATGTGTTACTGGGAGCAGTTCAAATTCAAATGTTCCACAATCTGCTGAAGATGACCTACCTCAACTTTTAGGGCACTGCCACTTAAATCAAGACCATTAGTCATCTCCACGGCATTCTTTGCGTCATCTGGATTTTCATAATGCTGAAACAAATGAACAAACTTGTAGCCTGTCAAACACAATCTGCTGATCAATACAATCAACGAAGCTCATTTGCAATAAATATTATTGGAAGGTGAAACCATCAAAAGTTTAGAAAGGACATCTTGCATCTATGTTTATCATTTGTTTCTTTCAATCTTTTTATTTCTAAACTAGAGGCGTTTGCACTGCCAAACTACAGTGAAACCTGCCAACACCAGCACCTGTCTAAACCGGCACACTGTCAAAACCATCATAAAATTTTGGTCCAGCCATTTTACAACGATATTATGATCATTAAAACATTGTCTAATCCGGCACCTGTCTATTCCGTATTCCAGCATGACTTTCCGGTCCCAACAAGCAATTTTAACTGTAATTAACACTGCCTAAACCGACATGGGTATGAGCATTCCAAATAAGGTACCATAATCCAATACACTAATTAATCCTCTTAATTAGCTAGATAATGGTCGTCACTGTCTAATCCAGCACCCTGTCTAAACCGGCATTTTATTTCGGTCCCCTGGGTGCCAGTTTAGACAGGTTTCACTGTAGTTCCAAAATCGTAACACGCCATGAATTTCCCCGTCCAAACACACTGACTCTAGATTAGTTGACCTGAATCAAGTTATCTCTAACATGATGAAAATTCATTACATGAGACTCAGGATAGCTAAAAGAGAACATTCAGGCAATGAAACAATCATGCTTCATAATAATCCCTATGATGATCCAGAACTTTGACCATGTTGACAAACTAACATTTCAAGTGGCAGGATGCTTCAAGTTCAAGTCTCAAGATAGAAGTGAATGGGCCTGATAATATACCAACTACACTGTATTCTAGGAAACTGTTTCTGTAACTATGATGGATGATTAAACTGAGTTAGTCGAGGTGTTTTTGTGCTGTAACGAGCATTCCTGTTTGGCTGATACTGACCATCTTTTAGCAAGTAGGGTCAACTATGAGTATGAGGCCGATCCATAAAGCATTTGAACAAGCAGAGTAACAACAAATACCATCTTTTAATATATTGTGGTATGACCAGACTTGAGTGAGTTTAGTTTTACGCCGCACTCAGCAGTATTCCAACTATATGGCGGAGGTCTGTAAATAATCGAGTCTGGAACAGACAATCCAGTGATCAACAGCATGAGCATCGATCTGCGCAATTGGGCATCGATGACATGTGTCAACAAGTCAGCAAGCCTGACCACCCGATCCTGTTAGTCGCCTCTTACGACAAGCATGGGTTACTGAAGATCAATATTCTAACCTGGATCTTCACGGGTGACCAGACTTGAGATCAAACCACCAACCATCTGCTGAAGAGCCTCACGTCACAAACACTCTTTTCTATTGGATCAACTAAGCGGTAACAAATTAAATTGAAGTTTTTGTGATAGAGTAATTGCTGATAAATGCCAGAGCTCCGGATAAGATTTAGCTCATGTGGGTACTGTACCCACTGTATTTTTTTAGGAGTGGGTATTATGAATGTTGAGTGGGCATTTCATTTTCCGTTACACTGCTTTCAAATATGTGCATATTTCAGTCATTTTACTCACCCAAGTATTATGTCACTGAGTAAGTTTACTAAGCAGGTATGTTCTGCCTTATGTCATACCTAATCAAAATCAACTTAAATATAATGGAAATGATTTCATAAAAAATCACTCATCCTATACTGACAGTACGACACTTGTCCTATACTAACAGTACAACTTGATGGCATTCGATGTCTTTTTCATTATGCAAGCGATTTTAAAAATATATTCCATACGCATTTGTTTTAAACTTTTTGCATAATAAACATTTCAAATGCGTAATAGGTACGCAACAATTATTTTTCAATGCGTAATTGGAAATAATCTATGCATATTTTAGCGGCTTATCTGGGCCTCTAGAATGCCCCAGACATCAATATTCCAGCAATAGTATGGCAGTACGTGTGAAAATTAGTGTTGGGAATTGGTTAAAATCTCATAATTGATGATTGGTTCATTACAACCGACCAATCATCGAAAATAGTTTATCAAATTTTCCTGGTTATCTTTGTTAATGCACAAAAAATAAAGACAAAGCATGTAGTTCTTTTGGGTTTTTCAAAATTGCACAAAATGCATTTGCAAATTTCACTTCTTTAAATGATGAATTGTATGTTAGGAACACATTTCCTGGAGTCTTTAAGATAAATTCAATCGTGACTTGGAACGAGCTTGTAGTGCTTATGAAATGTAACTGACAAAATCAACCTTGTGTATCAAGGGATTCATTCCAAAAAAATTAAAACACACCTATTCAGACAATATTTTAGCTTTGAATCCTCGACCCCACCATATTCATCATCTTAGCTTTTTACTGTCTTTTTAAGCATCACTGTTTTTAATCATTGTGTAATTTTTCTGTAAAGCGCCACTGAGCAGGAAATAACCTGGATATTAGGCGCTATACAAATAAATTGTCATTCATTCATTCATTGTGAAAAACATCATCAAGGCAAAAAAGTGCTCCAAAATTGTTTGTGTTCGATTATGAGAAAACATGATCGATTGCTTGGTTGTTTAGTCACTGCGACCAATCTTCGATTATTTCAATTAATCGGACCACCACTAGTGAAAATAGAGTCAGTATCAGGCTAGGTGTACAATTAACAAATCACTGAGGTTGTCGTCTTTGTAAGCTTGTGATAGAGGCAACCTTCCTATTCTTTGCCAGGGCTCCAGATAATTTTTCATGATCTGGAGTACGTACTCCTTATTTTTTCAATATAGGAGTACTGGAAAACAATAAAAGTACATTTAGAGGGAAAGAGTTCCTTCCGTTCCCCCAACTCTAAACCGAACTCTAAACCTAAACCTAGCCCTAACTTAAATTTTTGACTTTTAATCATTTTGTGAGTTCTCTAGTAATTGTTGTGTTAAGTTTTGTTTATAATTCTAGAATATTTATACATATTATTTGGGATGGGGGAACGGGAGGAACTCTTACCCTACTGTTGTGTAAACAGGACAACAAACAATGAAACAATACTTTTTCAGATACATACGTCTGTAAATGATTCTAAGACCGTACACCATTGCTGTGGTGCATATCTGCTACGTTTTCTAAATTATTTCCTACCATATCGCGGCTATTTTTTATTTTTATATCCTTACATTGCGAACGTTGCCGTGTCGGTCCATACGGCCCTTATCTGCAGCCCTGCTTTGCAGGAACAAACACATGGTGAGGAAGCAGGAACAGGAATTCTCACCTACGCACATTGTGTGCAATTAAGCTTGTCTATTACTTTTACTATACCAAGGGAATTAAGAGTAACAGGCCAGTTGTATCCTTATTTAGGTTGGTAAACATGGTCAGCACTTTGGAATAATGTCGACCATTTTGATCGTGGACAATCTTACCACAAAAGCGTAGTTCTGTACAATGTCGCACTCCACAACGGTTCCATACTTTGCAAACACAGTCTCCAGATCTATCTTACGGCATGTCTCAGGTAGATTGCCAACATACAGCTTTGTACTCATTTTCAACAGGTCTGGAAAGAAAGATTTAAAACAAAACATTTAGAAGTAATAGAACTAAAAAGTAAGAAATATTTACACTTTTCCTGATCAAATTTGTTTGCATGTTGTTTAAAATAACAATACTCCTGCTATGTGGTGAGAGACAGTAAATAATCGAGTCAGGAGCAGACAATCCAGTGATCAACGCAATTAGGATAGGATGACACGTGTCAACCAAGTGAGTTAGCCTGACTTATGACAAGCTGAAGCATACACACTGCTGAAGACTAACAACACCTACCTATGTTTCAGCAGAAACTAACATGTTTTCATGGAAAAAGGGTAACAATTTAATGCAAAAAATCTGCAAATGGCAAAGGGCCACCTCTGGATCTATTTGCATCTGTTATGATAATCAACCTTGTTTTAGGTTGCACTGCACAAACCAAACCCACAGTACAAATTGTTTCCATGGAAATCAAGAAAAATAAATGACAAAGAAATTGTAAAAGGCAAAACGCACCTCTTCAGGCACTGTTTGATATACCTGAGAGTTTCTGTATGAATCAAATTTGGATGGTTTTCAAGTTGTGCTCTGGAACCGAAATAATTACTGACTGACAGACAGACGTGTCCCTTATTGATCATTGTTGATGCAAGATTTAAAATCATGAGTTAACTTTTATTTTTCAGCGTTTCAGTTTTTCACACACTCATTGTTCCAAGGCAGGATTTCCTTGTTGACGTTATTTCCGTTCATCAGGTTCATATTACTTCAACTGAAGGAAACTAAAGAGAAACTGGAGCGCGAAAATTAAGCGCGCCAGTATAATAAAAACAGGGTCCCATAAGCATGCAGCTGAAGTGTGAACATTAAATACTTGACACGGAAACACTTGAGCTTCACAGTGAGACAGCTTTGACATTATTTTCAAATATTATGTTCAATATCTGGTCTCCATTATACAAACACATACACAAAAACGTCTGTTGCTCCTCTCTCAATTTTCGTCTTTCCTATTAATACTTCTTTCGTACTGAAACCACGCTGAATTGGTTTTCAGCGCCACCTATCACATTCAAGGGAACGAACTCTGGTTTACCAAAGTATGGCTAAGAGTAACAAAGAATTCTGCGAACAGTTGATAGACCAGCAGCAGCATTTATCCATGCGAATAATGAATGTAATCCTGCGACTTTTTGGAAAATAAAACCCGAAAAAAAAACACATTTAAAACATATTAGAAGTTGATGTGGTTTGGTTCATTGAAATAGTGTTAGCTCCCTTGAGTTAACTTCCAGCAGGGGGCGCGATCAAACAAAGCGTCTGTATCGATCGAGAAGCCAAGACAGAATTGTAAATATTATGTTTTTCAACTCTTTCCATTCGCATTTCTGTTATTGTAAAAGCCATAGGGTATATTTGAATAATTTGATAATGCATGCGGAATTGTAACTGCTCGGTGATCACGAATTTTGAAAATTTAAAGAAACTAGTCACATGCCGATTTCAAAATGGAGGATTGGTGTGCAGTGTGCAGGCAAGCAAGAGTTGGCGAAGCGAAATATTATCAATAAAGAATGCCGCGTGACTTGTAGCTCTTGTCGATGAAAGCTCAAAACTTCGAATTGTGGAAATCCCATGTTAAGGTTGCTTGCAAAAACGAAGAGCACTCTCAGGGAATCACGAAAAGAAAGTAACAGGAAAAAAGTCACAGAAAGAAGTCACAATACAATCAATTACTTAGTGTATTACTTTGATTATGCTTTGTTAATTATTAGCTACAGTCTCTTTTGTGTGATGATTAGTGTTGGGAATTGGTTAAAATCTCAGAATGGATGATTGGTACATTACAACCAATCAATCATTGAAAATGATTAGTTAGCGTCATTTATGTATTTGGTTTATGTACCCAAAAAATAAAGAAAAAAACATGTAGTCTTTAAGGGCTTTTTGCAAATTGCACAAAATGCAGGATGACTAGTATGTTAGGAACATAAATTTCCTGGAGTCTTTAAGATAAATTTAATCATGACTTGGAACAAGCTTGTGGTACTTATGAAATGTAAATTTAATGACACAGACAACACCAACCTTGTGAAAAATATTGTTGATGCAAACAAGTGTTCCAAAATTGTGAGAAAACCAGGTCAATTGCTTGGTCATATAGTCACTGCAACCAATCTTTGATTATTTCAATTAATCGGACCACCACTAGTGATGATTGTCTGTTTATCGTTTATTTGCATAATAAGAACACATGAGGCTCAGCTTCTGGTTCTGACTGAGTGTTAGAGAGAGTACATCGTGTTTTGTTACTAAAGTGGTCTTTCAAATCTATTGTATAGAACTTTCCTTTCACATTTCCATCATGGATTTTTTTAAGAGCAACAAAAGTGGTTTGAAACAAGTTATTGATAGACACATTTACAGTAAGCATAAATTTGGTTATTGTGACTTTTTTCCTAGCCAAAATTGTGACTTTCTTTCCGGTCATTTGATCAGGCAGACTTGTAACTGCATCCAAAGAATCAATACGTTGAAGAATGTGCCCATCGTTAATTCATATAATACTGTGGACCTAAAATAAACGTTGAGGCAGCTAATAACAGCAGTCTGAAAATAATGTTTGATATTTAGGAATTCTATCTTATTTCCTTTTTCTTATACAATAAATAGTATTAAAGTAGGCCATTTTGTCAATGAATGGCAAATGAAACAGTAGGGAATAAAGTGTGTGTGTATTGTGACTTAAACTATAGAGATAATCACAAAACTTTTGTACCCAATGTAATAGTTATCAGAAGAAAATATTGCAATACATATTGTTTGATAAGAGCATGGGGTAAACTGGCAATAATGTGCATTCCTAATGCTCATTATCCATAATGATGGTAGTCAAAGTGTCTGTAAAGGCACAATGTCACGCTTTTTCGACAATAGTTTGGCCTATATTTTATATATTGGGGGCATAAGCCCTCACTTTAGCTGCCTATTTATGCAATAAAAGACTTATTACAACTTGCCTGAAATTGACAATTGAAACTTGAAAGGCTGAACAGCTTTCAAACAGAAACACTTGTCACATATGGAATGTAAACGATTGCTCCAGACATCGAAAGCTGTCACACACGGTGTTGTCGATATTTGAGGAACTGGTTTTCATTCACAAGTTGTGCATAGGATATTCGTAAAGAGCTCTCCTAGAGACATAACTCTATGGGGTTCACTTGTATTAATATTCGGCAGGTAGATTGCGTGAGGTAAATTTGCATTAATTCATTCGAACTTTTTTATTTAATATTGTAATCTAAATATGTAATTCTTTTTGGAATAAATTATGTGGTAACTTCCCTGAGGGCTGAGAGTTATTATTGAGAGAAATGCATTATGCATGATTTTTAGAGAAATGTGATGTGACATTGTGCCTTAAACCTGCGCTTAATGTGAATGAAACATTGAAAAACCCTTGATCAAACTTACTAACTATGGAAATAAAACTCAAGGCTGATGTGTTTAAGTTGATATGTTATTTACAAGGTTTTGGGTTTAGAAACTACTTTACTTTTTACTTTTGCTTATTTTCAGATGTCAAGCAAAGTACCAACAAAGGTGTTTGTTGGTAACCTCACAGAATCATGCTCCAAAATCCATTTACAGAGAATCTTTGAAGCATATGGAAGTATTGTGGAGTGCGACATCATCAGAAATTATGCATTTATTGTAAGTAAGTTAGTGACTGTAATAACACTATTCACTTAATCACCTGAGAATGTCTCCGTGGTGTAGTGGTTAGAGCGTCCCTGCCCGGAGAGCGGAAGGTCGCGGGTTCGATCCCCGACCGCGTCATACCAAAAGACATTAAAATATGGTACTTGTTGGTCCCTGCCTGGCGCTTCGGCATTAATGGGTACAACAAGGACCGGTCGGCTCGGAGTCAGTATAATGTGTCTGAGTGGGGTATTCATGCTTCACTGCGGCATGGTATCTCGGTAGGCTAGCACTGTAAAACCGGCTTAAGTCTGGGCTAGTACAAGCAGCCGCATATATACACATACACACACATGCACGTCGTCATATGAGCGAAATATTCTCAAGCACGACGTTAAAGTTACTTAAACCCAATTTCACCTCACCTCACTTAATCACCTGAATCACTGATAGTGTCTACGGTGTCAACAGTTTTTTGTATTGAACAAGTTGCATATTAAAATGAAGGTAACTGCTCTTTAAGTTATTACTCTTGACTTATGTATAAGAATGGACTTCAATATTGATGTGCATACATGGTGTAAATCCATGGACCTACATACTGTACACACCAGTTTCTATGTTTATACCCAAGAAATATTTGACGTCTTTTCTGAAACAACTAAATTTGAAACTAGCACTAGTGTCATAGTCCCTTCCCATTTTTCTATGTGTTCATTATAATGGTGGTCTGATTAATTGAAATAATCGAAGAATGGTCGCAGTGACTAAGCGACCAAGCAATCAAACATGTTTTCTCATAATCGAATGCAAACAATCTTAAAACACTTATTTGCATCAACGATACTTTTCACAAGGTTGGTTTTGTCTGTGTCGTTAAATTTACATTTCATAAGCACTACAAGCTCTTTCTAAGTCATGACTTAATTTATCTTAAAGACTCCAGGAAATCTATGTTCCTTACGTACTAATCATCCTTTAAATATCAAAATTTGCAAATGCATTTTGTGCAATTTGCAAAAAAACCCAAAGAACTATATCATATGTTTTTTCTTTATTTTTTGTGTGTGTAAAACAAGATAACAGGAGCATTTGATAAATGGTGCTAAGCAGTTATTTTTGATGATTGATAATTATGGACCAATCATCAATTATTAACCAATTCCCAACACTAGTTCATTACCCGTGATGATACAGGTTAAAATTGGTCTTCAGTATCCCATGCTTCATTGCTTGTCATAACAGGCAGTTAACTGGTTTGGGTGGTCAGGCTTGCTAACCTGGTTGACACATGCTCATACCCCAATTGCATATGTTAATGCTCATGATTTCAATCACTGGATTGTTTGGTGCAGACTCAATTATTTACAAAATGCTGTTATATGACTGAAATCCGGCAATTCACCATTAAACAGTAAACAAAACAAAATGTGTCCCTAGAATTAGAATTGATTACTCGGCCTTAAACAAAATAAAATGTTGTGGTTCCGATTACCCGACCGACATTTGAATTCTGGTGCTGATCCTTTCTTTTTTTAAAGCAGTATCGATAAAATAAGCTTTCAGGTACCATTGTTTTTTGCGGCACCGACAGACATCCATCATTATGAGAGACTGACTGAGTTTAGTTTTACGCCGCTTTTAGCAATATTCCAGCAATATCACGGCGGGGGACACCAGAAATGGGCTTAACACATTGTGCCCATGTGGGGAATCGAACCCGGGTCTTCGGCGTGACGTGCCAACGCTTTAACCACTAGGCTACCCCACAGCCCCCATTCTGAGAGAGAAAGTCGACATGATGGCTGCAAGCTTGATTGATTAAACAATTACATATTGATAAATGTTTTATTAGTTTGTACTTTACTTCTAATAAAATGTCTCGTCACGATATGGCTGAAATATTGCTGATGGGACGATAAATCTTAACTCACTCACTCACTCTAAAATTAATGTGAAAAACCGAGCCACCCTTAATTTTAAAGAGGTGTAATTGGAACCACAACTTCTTTTATTTGGTCTTCAGTAAAAATGATGTCCACATGTGGTGTCATGACTCATCAATGCACTACACACTTACACCATGTGATTTACCTTTCTGTGTCTTTTTTACTGGATAATTAGAAGATAAAACTCTGTTTTCAATTTTGTGGTCCTTTATCAGACCGTTAAATGTAAAAATTAAAAAACGAATGCGTTAGCAAACAAAAGGGCCAGTGAGTACATTGTAATCAGTCACTTTGATTAGCAGTCCTTAAACTGCCATTTAAGTACAGTTTTGATGAGCTCTCAGCCAATCAGAATCGAGTAGCACACAATTTCGTGCTAGAATGTACATTTGATTATACATGCTGTGTCTATTCCCATACACACATATATTAAAAGACCACCAAAAAATAGGAATATATTTTCGCTGTTTGGTTGCCTTATCGGTTATGTAATTCAGATTTTTAACTCATTCAGCTTAGTTTATGGTTTTTGTAAGTGTTGCTTGAATAAAGCACTTGTGTGTTTGTTGTAGCACTTTGCTGATGCAGATGAAGCCAAAACTGCTGTTGAAAACCTAGATGGATCAAACTTTGAAGGATCAAACATTAAGGTTGAAGTAAGTTGACTATTATTTTATGATTTGACTGCCGTGTTCTTCCACCCTGCTGTAATATCTGAGACAGAAAAGATTTCTATGATTCTATGCTTGTTGCAAGAGTCTGAGGAGATCAGATGGCTTTGTGTGTCTAGCTGAAGCATGACTGTCATCGTTACCCAACAACTTCAATCGTCTGGACAGCATTATGGCTGTCATTCAGATGTAATTGTGACATAAGCAGTGTTTCCGTTATCTGTCTGGTATATACCAGACTTTGACCGGTATCAGGGATTTACAGGATATGAATTCCTGCATCCTATACGTATAAAAATTGACAATGGACGCAACAAAATTTATTAGCGCATCCACAGGGACTCAGAAAAAGTCCAAATACTTTTTGTACAAATTCCAATCAAGTGACAATAAGTTACCACTGAATTTGCTACTAGCTGGGTTATGGTATTTTTTTTTGCAATTTAATTACTGTAACAATGTGATGATCATGATACACAATAAAACAACAGTATTAATGATAATATTTAAGTGTCTGGGACCCACATTTTGTTGTCCAGGACCCCTGAAAATTAAGAGTATGAGTCCCAGGGACCCTCAAATACAGGACTCAAGGTAAATCCCTGCGATATAAAGTTAGAATGTCAGTCAATTTGAAAGGCTGTCGGTCATTGTGTCCGGCAAATTTTAAAATCAATTTTCTAATTACCTCTGTCAATTTTATTTCTCCTTGAAATAGATTACATTTTCACAATGATATTGAGGTGTTGTCAAAAATAAACAGCGGCATTGACACATAGCAATACCATACCCTTTTACATTTCTGATTAATTGTTAGGGTGCAAGGTCTCGCGCACACCTGCTTTTAATGTCACAGTCAGTATGTTTTCAGAATTAAATTCACGCTTTTTTCATGGCGTGGCTACATGTTGATGCATTTTGGAATTAAGAGTCATACTGTGGACAGAAATTTGTTTCTAAAGCATTTTTTCAACTAGACATGCCCTTCGACTTCATGTTAGTTATATTCATTGATCATTGTCATGCTGAAATCCATCTTGATGGAAATATGGACAATTTTAGACTGGTGCGTTTTCAATGATGTTCAGTGTATGTTAGCTACAATATAAGTATTTCTCAGCAAAATTGTGACAACTAACAAACTGATTTCAAAAGTTTAATTTAGAAATTTAAACTAGAAATTAGTGAATGATATTTTCTGAAGTATAATACTCTCAGTTATTGGGGATGAAAAAGCTGTCAGCCATAAGGAGCTGCAGAAAAAAAGCTGTGGGTCCAAGTGGTTTTCAGTAGGCTTTGGTCCTAAGGACCGACGTTAATGTCGAACATTGTCTTGACAGACCATCACTGTTTGAATATGTTTCAGCTGTCACATAGCAAGGTTCGACAGAAGCCAGGCATGGGCAGGAAAGGAGACTGCTACAGATGTGGGAAGGAAGGACACTGGTAATGTATCTCAGTATTCATGATTTCCATGGGTTGTAGCAGTAACACTGCGTCGGGGCTATGGGGTAGCCTAATGGTTAAAGCGTCCACTCGTTACGCTGAAGACCCGGGTTCGGTTTCCCACATGGATACAATGTGTAAAGCCCATTTCTGGTGTCCCACGCCGTGATATTGCTGGAATATTGCTAAAAGTGGCGTAAAACCATACTCACTCACTCACTCACTCACTTACTGTGTTTCACTAATCATTCAGTATGGTGGAGCAATGTTTCAGAATGTTCCCACTGTCATTCTATGAAATTCTCAGCCTCTTGTCTGTCAAATACACATTCTTATATTCACATATTTTTATATTGAGAAGGGGCGGTGTGGTAGCCTAGTGCTTAAAGCGTTCACTCGTCACGCCAAAGACCCGGGTTCGATTCCGCACATGAGTACAATGTGCGAAGCTCATTTCTGGTGTCTCCCCGCCGCAATATCTCTGGAATATTGCTAAAAGCGGTGTAAAACCATTCTCACTCACTCATTTATATTGATATGTGTTAATAATACTAATAATGTTCATAATCTGTTTCAGGTCAAAAGATTGCCCTAAAGGACCGTAAGTAGAATATTTTATAACAGTTTATTGTCAATGTAAATTTGTCATCAAATGAAATATGTATCTTATATTATACTGTTATTTGCATTTTGTTACAAAAAAAATTCTGTGATATATTATGACTACAGACACAGGTGTAATAAAACAAGTTCTGTAATATACTGTGATATACAGATGTCGCTGTCATTCAGCTGACTTAGATCATTATGAAAAACTATATTGGCTTGCAAACTACTGACCTGTGACTCACCTGAACTTTGTTCACGATAACACCACAAGAAAATGTGCAGTTGCTTGAATGTGTCCCAGTCTTATAACCTGTGAAAGTCCGGGTTAGACTGAACCTTCAGTAACCCATGCTTGTCATAAGAGGCGACTAACGGGATCGGGTGGTCAGGCTCGCTGGCTTGGTTGACACATGTCATCCGTTCCCAATTGCACAGATCGTTGCTCATGCTGTTGTTCACTGGATTGTCTGGTCCGGATTTGATTATTTTCAGACCGCCGCCCTATAGCTGGAATATTGCTAAGTGTGGCGTAAAACTAAACTCACTCACCCACTCACTCCCAGTCTTATAATAGTAGGTTTGAATCCCACATTTATCATGATTATGATTTGTGGTTTGTCTCGACCAGCCTTGTCATCGTAAGTTCAACCAAAGTGGTGGGACGTAAATCAAGGCAGGCTTTCCTCCCTGATTACTATCACTCTCCTCAATAAACATTGTGTATAATACCCAGATAATGTTTGTTTACTGTCATGTTTCAAATGATAATAGTGTTAGCATAATTTTCTGGATTCTGTTTCAGGTCCCGGCCTCCTCGCAAACCTGGTCGTGATGATCCATACAAGTCTCCCTACAGAGATCCCAGAGATCTAAGAGATCCTTACTACAGAGATCCATATGATGATCCCTACTACAGAGACCGTTATCTGCCTCCTCCTCCCCGATTCGACAGATACAGGCCGTATGCTGACCCCTATGATCGACGCCCCCTTCCCCCACCCCCAAGAGATCCATACTACAGAGAGAGGGACCCCTATGCCAGACCCCCACCAGAATACTATGGCAGGAGGTCACCACCCCCAAGGTACGTAGCGCTACATGTTCCTAAATAAAAAGTTCTAGACACTGTTTTGTATGGATTGAGACTTAGTTGGATAACATTTGGATGGAGACTTTTGGGGAAGGTCACATATTTTAAGGTAGTTTTTATTGTCTGTACCAATTTTGACTTTATTGCCAGGACCGTATTAATTGTCATGTATATTTTAATAGAAGAACCTGTGAAGATATGAGTGAAAATTGTTCTTCAACATCCCTTTCTTTTTGTAAGAGGCAAGGACACTTGACTAACACAGAGATGCCAACCACTCCGATTTTGGAGGAGTTACTCCGATTTTCAAATACAAAATCCACACTCCGAATTGTCTATAAAAACTCTGATTTTTTAGAAAATACAAATATGTTTATAAATTTAGAATGTTTGAAAGAGTTTTTGTAATTTGTTCATTTGAGTTAAGAATTATGTGGTTAAGTATGCCCAGAGATTGCATATTTCCAGGCTATATCTAAAGATTTCCATAGCGGAGGTCCCCCAGACCCCTACCGTCAAACGCTCTCTCACGCCACCCCCAACTCACACCTTCAGGGCTGGGGGAATTGCTTTTAGCAAGGCATGACTCCACTTTCATTTGATTCAGGGTTGGCATCTCTGCTAACAGGATCAGGTGGTCAGACTGGCTGACTTTGATGACACATCTTTGTATCGAAAAGTGTAGATCAATATTCATGATGTCAACCGCTGGATTGTCTGGTCCAGACTTGATATTTACAGACCACCGCCACATAGCAGGAATATGCTGAGTGCAGTGTTAAACAACAAAGTATTTAAACAGAAGTGTCATTCAGTTACGGTCTAGTGATAATCCTCCAGTACAAAAGACTCATATTTATCATGTAACATGTCAAGTACCAAATCGCACATTTTCCTTTGCCAAATGAGGTCAGTCTTTGTTCGTGGTGTGTTAAGACTATGAATGTATATTTCCTTTTTCAGAGACCCCTACTACGACTACTATGCAAGAGAGAGACCGTGAGAAGATTTTTAGTCTTTCATGTTTGTTAAGGAATTTCTAAAGTAACTTTTAATAGAATATTACCTTAAACAACTAAACCTGTTTGAGTAAATGACAGTGTTGTATTTGTAATAACAGGATAAATTCAATATCTGTGTACAGGCAGATCTTAAGTAACAATGTTGAAATATGTTTTGAAATGATCCTGACAAGTAATTTAGGTATGAAATTGTTTTACTTGTTATTGCAACTAATGTGACAAGTCTTTACTTGTTTCCCATCTGTTTATTTTTTAGAAAGATAGAACAAATATTTTTGTAAACTGTGTAGATTACATTTTGGATGTTCCTCAATGTAATGTGAATGATACAAAATACAAAGAAATATGACATTTTGAAAACAATTTTTACATGACGTCATGATACATTTTTCGGTAACTGTGACAATGACAGCAAGAGAAACGTGGGGCGTCGTGCTAATCAAATCCACCACTTCAGCTAGTATCAAAGTTGTTGAAGAGACAACTCGTTCAGCCACTTGACTTTCTGATCGGATACAAAATTTTTCGCTGTTGAAAAATCTGAATGTCCAAAATCCATATCGCTTTTAACGCTTCACTGGACCTCTGTAACATACAATGGAAGTATAAATCCTGTTTTTATTTGCATATACAGCTACCCGCCGCCGCCACCAAAGGCAAATCGTGCTTCGCCAGCGATTGCCCGCGTGCCTGCGCCCTACTGAATCGAGTGCGAGGATAAATGACGTGCGACGGGAATGGTTTCGTCATGGAATCGAGCTTAACACAGAATTTTTTGTTGTCAAACAAGAGTTTAAAGACTTTGTTTCATCATGATCCCACGAATCATGAAATAATTCGCTGACGTTGCTGACTCCTGAAGCGTTGCAGCATTCTCGTGTGTCAAGAGATTTTTAGTGTTCCTTCAGTCTTCATTGTATTTTAAGTTACATTCATGTACTTTGTATTCTCATATTTTATTGTCTCCGTATATTATTGTTATAAATAAATCGGTTGCGTCACAACAGTTGCATCTTTGTAGAATACTTTCAATGACGTCAGCAGACAGTGTACATTTTGAAGGAAACAGGATGGCGATTGTAAGAAAATTTGGTTTTAAATATTTTCTTCTAAATACAATAATGATATTTATAACTGGTATTTGTTTAACATTCTGTTTCCTTCTTGATGTTATTGCCGTGTAGATTTGACACACATCTGTGTAAAGAATCGCGACGGCATCTTCATGACTTTCCTCCGCTTGAGCTTCTTTGAGTAACTACCGCAGTTTTCGCTGATAATCCAATGGGGATTGCAATGGTCATTTTCCATGATAACAGATATATTGCTACATTTATTCAAACTGAAAGAAACCCTTGAACTTTTTTTCTACATTTGGACCAATAAATTTCAAAAATTTTCACAGTCTCGATCTCTGTCGTAGCAATATGTTTCCTATTTGGGGAACGGAAACGCGATGCGTCGTGTTGCGTATCATCATTGCACCCTGGTGTTGCTTCTTTTGCTCCTTATTTATTTCACGGTTAAACATTGCAACAACAGGCAGTGTTCTGAATCTGTTCTCAGAACTGTGGCGGGAGGCGGGAAAGAGAGAATGAAGTTCTTTATTTATCTTGTGTTTTGTCATGCACCAGAACAAGGTTGCCTTTTTTATTGGAATTTGTTATTTGTAACTTGCACATATCTGTCAGTACAGGAGTTTGAACTGGCACTCAACCAAACCTGATTGAAACAATCGTTCTTGACCCGAATCTCAATCCATACAGTTACTTGAACATGTTAAAGAATGACATTTTTGGGCTACAAACATATGATACACAGAAAATAATATTTTTTATTTTGCATCAGCAGTGTCTTAGCTCATTTGCAACTAGGTCATATTTAGTTCATTAAGAACTGACTGAGATAACAAAAAGTCCTTTTGAAAAAATGCAAGGATGAAAGGTTAATAAAATGCATAAGAAGATGTATTGAAGGTTGGTATAACAGATAATGAGTCTTTTTTGTCTTTATTTTGCACATGAACATTGTTTTAATAATTACACTTGTAAATAAGCTTCTCATACAAGTGCATTGAGAGGCATCACACTAAGATGCCATTTTTATGATTTATGTTTTTGTTGGTTAGGCATACCTAGTTGATATCCGATGTGAAGGATGCTATCTGCTGTATCATGTTCTTCATCATGCAGTTATAGATATTTGTTTTCTTTTTCCTCAGTTCTGGGGACTGAAATAGCATGTGTGGCAAACTCCCATGCCTTTTCATGCAGAGTTGACTGTCTCCTTACATGATGGAACCGATTCTTGCTGTGTAAGTGATGTAACAGTGATGAATTATTCATTCATTCTGTCTTTTTTTGGTATGGGTGTGGAAAAATGTACAGTTGTTTTCAGCCAAAGAATTCTGCCATGTATGTTGTGTATTACAATTTGTGCTCATTTATTCAGTGTTTTGGTGTTCAATTGAAGTACCAGTTGGTCTACTAATCAAATATGTAAATTATACACGATGACCAATTATTTTACCCTACTTCAGACCTATGAATGATATAGACTAAATATGTATTAATAGTGTCATATTAACAGTTGCATGGTTTGAAGGGTACTCACCTACAGATCCAATTTTATGGGTTCTTGTGGTTTACTCGTCACGAAGACCGGGGATCCACCAGTCAGTGAAGCCCATTTTTTCAAGAATAAGAAAAAAGCTGCGTAAAACCATACTCAGTCAGTCAGGCAGTCATCTTGTTTTTTACAAAAAAATAGAAATTTAATGTCTTGTTTTACAGATGTCAAGAATAAAAAAAAAATGTAATCAAAAATAAACAATGAAAATGTAATCTTTTAGAAAATGTTTTTTTTGTTTTTACTCTACACTTAATAAATTGCCAAAAGTAGAATACTTTTAGTATTTAGAAGGAACATTACTTTGACTGGTGATTTAAAAAAAATAATAATTCCCTATACTTTTAGGTTTTCTGAGGACAAAAATCTGTAAAACAAGAAATAAAATTTGTCTGGCCTAAGGGACACTTTGTGAAGACAATGTAAAATCAACTTCAGCACAAGTTAGCTTGTTTATCTGGCTGGAAATTTAAACATAAGAACTGTTAAATACATTAAACCAGCCATTTCAAAAGGATATTGCATTCACAAAGAAAAAGAAAGTTTCTAAATTTCATGTGCCTTGTATCCAGATTAAGGTTAAATAGTGTGCATCAATTCTGAAGATAGGTCTAATGTATTACTCTCATTGACACATTTAAAATCTAAAGGACATATCTGAAACATCTTTAGGCCAGACCAATTTTATTTCTTGTTTTACGGATCTGCAGGTCATACTTTTTCAGGAATAAGAAGAGTGGTATAAATTTTCCCCACTCCAAAATCCTAATGAAATCCTAATGTTATTGTGATATAAGTGAAATACTCTTGAAATCAGTGTGAAACTTAGACTCACTCAACTTATTTTTAGTTGATATAACAAACCAAAATAGTTAACATGGAAACTCGTGTGGGTTTTTGCTTTCACTGGTGATTTTTTTTTTTCCTCCTGCCTTTAGGTTTACTGAGGACAAAAATCAAGACTGGTTCTTACATTGTCACAGAAAAGTGGTCTACTTAGGAGTTTGGAATGGTAGTTCAGATTGCAAACAGAAAATGACATGTTACAGTTCACATTTATGCCCTTGATCATCTATCTAAGAATTTGTATCCATTTATGTTGATAGTTGTCTTCAGGATGCAATCAGGTTAACAGTATCAAAATGCCCCAATCTTTGGTGAATAGTTAAGTACATCTTGAGCATTTTGGTTAGAATTGGTCCCATGGACCAACCCTGTGCTGGTTGCAAGAAACAAGCAAATAGATGCTCAGACTTATTTGTTGCATGTCCTTGTTTTGGAATTGGTTTGGTTTGATGCCAACACCACACTGAACAGTATTCCAGCTATGGCAGTGGTCTGTAAATAACCGAGTCTGGACAAGACAATCCAGTGATCAACAATGTAAGCATCAATATATGCAACTGGGAACCGATGACATGTGTCAACCAAGTCAGCGAGCCTGGCCACCCGACCTCGTTAGTCACCTCTTACAAGCATGGGTTGCTTAAGACCAATTCTAACCCAGATCTTCACAGGTTTGCATGTCATTGTAACCCAAAGGCACAGCATGTTGCACACAATATCAATGACAGGAAACTTTGTACCAGACTCAAGTATTTACTTGCCTCAATAACGTAGCTGTAATATTGTGAAGCCTTTAATGACAAACACCCTAGATTTATGTCTACATGGTCAGTGAAGAACTGTTCAGTGAAATTGGATGTCAGCTTCTTTATTGTGTTATGTTGTCATAACGAATGGTGATATATTTATCTTCATGTTGAATAGGTTACCACAAGAGGACAGGTGTCTGAAGAGGGATATGCGTGACTATAGTACAGTGCATTCATGACACAACCAAGCCTCAGCAGCAGAAGGAAGGAGTCACAGGAGTCATGAAGTGATAACATGGTATCCCAAGGACACTATCAGAAGAAGTCCTGTTGCTGCATCCAAGTTTTCAAGTCTGATCTTGTAAACTGTCTTCATTGGGGGAATATCAGCTCCCCATTGCAGTTATGGATCAGCAAGGTGTAAGAATGAACTCTGATCAGTGAACTTTCATGACATACGTCCAACACTATCAAGACTCTGTTATCTGCTTCCCAGCAAAATTACAGATCCTGATAACAGAAATCATCACCTTGCACCACTTCCCTGAAAAATTTAGGTTTTGAAGGTACTTAACATGATGAAAGGACAAGTTCCAACTAACATTGTTTGAAGGTTATTGAATCTCTGGACTGTAAGTGTGAATACAGAGGACTACAAATTGTGCTGAAAGTCATTTCTTGTAAAAGTCATGAAATAAAATATGACAAAAGAAAAAGCTTCTGACTCTGTTGTTACTTTTCAGCTATTCTAATATGTATATTTCAGGCCAAGCACAGTCCCACATTCCTAATTAGTTTTTGGTAGCAGATTGGTAGAGAAATCTTTGAAGCTGTGTGAATCCTAATTCAGTGACAACCTGTAAATTCAAGTCAATTAGACATGGCTTGTTAAGGCCACACTCTGCTATATTTAATCTATTTCACACTGGATTGTCTGGTCGAGACTCAATTATTTACAGATCGCCGCCATATAGCTGGAATATTGCCAAGTGCTGCGTAAAACTGAACACTATTTCACAATGGATTATGACAGTAACATCTTAGCAACAGTCGACACCATCAGGATGCAATGACCAGTCATAGTCTGTCAAACCTGTCTTATAAGTCGCCAGTATAGCTGGAATATTGCTGAGTGCGGTGTAAAACTAAACTCGCTCACTCACTATAAGTCGCCAGCAGGTGCGAGGATGATATATTTTAGGTTTCAAGAAAACTGTTCTGACCCACAAATCCTACGGATTCTTGGTGTAAAAACACGTTCTTTAAGAAAACGTGTACGTGGTTTATGACGGTTCCTGTTAAAATGTGAGGCAAGTAATATAGAAAAATACCATTACGCCCCAAAATAATAATTTTTCGTATTTATTTGAAGCAAGCAAGATAAATGTTATAAAGTTCCAATGGGTCAATTTAGGTGCTGTAGTTTCGCCATGTAGAGCATCAGCCTGGAGTATTGAAATCCAACACTCATGGGTGTGAATCTCAGGTTTGCTTGTTTTGATTGTTGGTTTGCCTGCACCATGTCAGCGAATGTGGTTCTACCCAATGTTGTAGTCATTTGGCTGTTCTTCACACATCAAGCGTATAAATATGAAATACTGTTGATTGTGCCCATAACACAACACTATTGAATATGCGTTATATATACCCATTATAGTTGTCCAGCACTGCGTAAAATGTTACGACCAATGTCAGCGAATAGCCCTTCAGCTGTACGCAAAGTTTCAAAATCGTTCATCTCTAAAGGTGGTTTTGGCCACGTACAATGAACCGAAAATGTTTCTGTTTGCCAATCGAACTCTCTACCGGGCACCTCGCCACTCAGTGGCTGAACGTATTCAGGAAGCCAGCTTGGATGGCATTTTCCAAGCCAACAGATCACCTGAAGATGGCGCTCTGTTTTCAGACTTGCTGGATACTGTTCAAATGTTTTGTACGGGAGCCTCATTGCTAAATGATGCACATTGTCATCACGGTAATCTTTCATTTCGTTAAGCAAAGCCTTGAAAAAGAAAGCATTCGGTTTCCCAATCAGAACGCCCAGATTAAACACTTCCGGAAATTCTCCATGTTCTGGCCAATCAAAACTCACGACACCGTCATAGGCAAGAAGATCGTCGCTGATTCGCTGTGTCCAGAAGACATCCGTGTCCTGTGTAACACCTCCGTACCTTGACAATACGTACAACTTACCTATATCGGCATTGTGTGTCGTGTACTTAAGCTGGTGATTGTATATGTGACTTAATTCAGGCATCATGACATGCGTCACATTTTCCTCCCGAATGAGTTTTTCAAAGAGATAATGATTCGGCCGTACTCCATGAAAATAAACCTTCTCAAGCCCAGCAACATACAAAGCGCTGAGTACACTCAGATAATTTCCGTACGAAAACTTCTTTATACCAAACCAAAAGAAATGCCCGATCCGTGGGACTAGTGTGTCATGGTTTTGAAGAGGCGTGATAATATTTGGATAGTGATAAACGAGCTTCCTTGCTAACCTTCCAAACTGGGTGTCCAGAGTCCAGATATCTCTGGGGGCAAGATCTGATTCCAGCACAAGACAAATGTCACCGTTGCTAGAGTCGAAGTTCTCTTTAATCGCACAATTGTTGACGTCAGAGTATGTGTATACTGATTCATTTTGGTGCCTTTTGATGTAAAGAAATCCCTCGTCGTCTCCTGTCTTTGCTGATCCAGTTGGGGAACTACTTTGACGCAGATGAACCGGGAACTCAGCCATAATTGTGTTTGCGCCAATATAAATTGCAGACTGGGATTTGGCAAAGACGGCTTTCTCTATGTCCACATTACATGAATATTCAACATCAACTTTTATTGTTACCAAATTTGGTACCGTATCGAATAACATTTGAAGCCACGTGTTGTAGCGATGATCGTCTATTTCGAATTCATGCGTATGAATTAAAATAATCTTGGTTGGTTTTATGACATAGATGGCGCTAAGTACACTTAGGTAGTTCCGAAACCTGAACACACTGGGGCCGCACCAAACGAAGTAAGCGTCAATGGTTTCACCAAAAGACAGATCGGACCCGGAAGTGACTAAATGGATACCCGGGTGTGGAATCATTGCTGGGACTGCCCCAGAGAATGGGTTCTGCTGAATGCTGCTCTCTGGTTGGTCGTTGTTCCCAGACTGTAGTTTATTAAAGGTAGGATGATTGGTAAATTCCACCTTTTGGCATGGTGGGTTCCGTCTCAGAAGGTAATTTAGGAGGATCAAAACAAGGACCATGAAGGCGAGACTACTCTTCATTGACCTAAATAATCCGCTTCGTAGGAGTCTGAAGGTCATGTTGTTATCCTGTTGAAGAATCTATCCCTCTGCAAGACCAAAAAAAGGATGTTAGTTCACATTTACTGGTTCCTGATATATACTTCACTGGACATGTAGAACACTCGACACTCACGTTTTATCATATTGTAATTGATATTTAGCGCTGTACTCGCCCGAATTCTGGTCGACAGGTAATATACTGATGCCATTTATACGAGGAACACGATTTGATGGAACTTCAATATGTATTCAGGAATGACATGTAAATAAATGACGTTGTTGAATTCAGTATTCTTACTAAAGTGTTCTCGTGAAGATCCCTGTTAGAATTGGAATCTTCAGCAACCTATGCGTGTCGTAAGAAGTGGCCAGGTTTGCTGAATTAGTTGACACATGTCATCGTATCCCAATTGCGTAGATCGATGCTCATGATGCTTATCACAGGATTGTTTGGTCCAGACACGATTAGGGACGGTGGGCTAGCCTAGTGGTTAAAGCGTTCGCTGGTCACGCCGAAGACCCGGGTTCGATTTCCCACATGGGTACAATATGTGAAGCCCATTTCAGGTGTCCACCGCCTTGATATTGCTGGAATATTTCTAGAAGCGGCGTAAAACCCACACACTCAATCCAGACTCGATTATTTACAGACCGCCTCCATACAGCTGCAACATTGATTGAGTTCAACAACAAAACTAAAGTGAAAGGTCTGTTCCATGTCCCGTGAGCATCAAACAGTCGACTGTAACAAGGTCTAAGTGAAGGTCATGTCAACGCTCTTGGCTGATGGGATGACCACAAGACTTACAATTTGGTCGATATAACGTTGACCAGTCATGTTTCCTTGTGCAGGATCCTCAGATCCTTCCTGTTGTATCTGATACCAGCCACTATGTACCAATCGCGCCTTAGTACCTCTCCCGACGCCATCTCAAACACGTTGTCTACAATCTGTAAAGCGCCAACAGATCCTTGATTCGTCAGAAAACATGGTGAAACTTCGCTGTTGACGACCTCCAAACTTCGGGCCCACTGGCTTCCGTCTGAGACGCATGTTTGCCACAGTCGTACTGTTTTCCTCTGAATGTTTGTTTGTTTGATTGTTGTTTAACGCCGCACTCAGCAATATTCCAGCTATGTAGTGGCGGTATGTAATAATCGAGTCTGGACCAGACAATTCACTGATCAACAGCATGAGCATCGATCTACGCAATTAGGAACCGATGAAATCCAGTGATATTCTCTGAATGTTTGAAGGAGGTGACTATAGGGATCCGGGTTAGAATTGGTCTTCAGTAACCCATGCTTGTCGTAAGAGGCGACTAACAGGATCGTGTTGTCAGGCTCGCTGACTTGGTTGACACATGTCAGCTTGCGTAAATCGATGCTCATGTTGTTGATCACTGGATTGTCTGATCCAGATTCGATTATTTATAAACCGCAGTCATATGACTGGAATATTGGTAAGTGTGGCGTTCAACAACAATTAAATTAACAAAGAGACGGATTCCTGTTGCAGCTGAAGTTGGTCCTCGGTTCTTGGGCGAACATATTGATCATTCCTGGGAGTACTTTTTCCAGGTTCTACTCTACCCACCTTAACCTAAACCTCACCCGTTTGCCGTTCCGTGCCACTCATAGGTGACACTTTCCAGAGCAGAATATGACTCAAGTCAAATTGAACACACGGGATCGTGTTAAGCCCTAAAGAAAACATTCGCAAAATACAGTATAATGTATAATGAAGAAGTACATGATAACTGATGCTTCAGTTGGATGTAGAAGTGAGGCGCGTCAATGTTACGACAAATATTTAAAACACCTATTGCCCATTATTACATGTATTAAGAAAACCAGTTCATACACACCTGTGTATTAGCCCGAGAGTCCACGATCACTACATGGCATCTACTGCAGGGGCTCAGCTGCATTGACAGACCCGTGAATCGTACCGTCTGTTACCTCCTGTTTCCTGTCAGATAACATCTATAGCAATATCCCAGCGTTATCTCAGCTGGGGACATCAGGAATAGGCTTCACACGTTGTATCCATGTGGGTAATTGAACCCCGATCTTCGGCATGACGAGCGAAAGCTTTAACCTTTTGGCTACCTTGCCGCCTCTTAATGCTGTTTCAAATTATTAGAGCAAAAGAATTCCTTCCCAACTTCCGTCGTAATCTGCTGAATGAAGAATGACAGTGATGATTATGGAGATTTAACGAGCGTCTGAGGATGACCTGATTTCGCACTTTCTTCCAATGCTGTGGTATCAGTAATTTTGTTATTTTCAAAATAATATGCAATTAATGCTTTGAACGATTGCATCACTGCGACAATACTGGTATTGCAGATGTGACAACAATATTCACCCTTGACGCTGTGAACGTGTTCGGCGATCCCATGACTTGAAAAGAAATTATGGCGAGTTGGTATTTTGGTGACAAGAATAATCATTTTTAAAAAATAAAGGCAGAATATTATTATCATATTGAACACCATTTTCCCTATTTTTCAAACCATCTCTCAACTTCCAAATGTTCTCCACTTTTGTTTGTTCTGGTCCAGACTTAATTATTCGACATTATACTAATTATTAGAGCAATTGTAAAACAAGGAAATATTTATTCACGAAAATCACTAAACTCGAATCCCTGGGACTATCGAAATTATATCGAATTTGACAATAGTTCAGTGGCTGTATTTACTCATAATATGGATAAAGATTCTTCTTCTTCTGTAGCACAAATAGGGTTGTGCAATGCTCGATTCACTCGCGAGGCTGGTCTTTTTCTCTCTCTGTTGCGCAACCCTATTTAAGGTACAGTTTGCCTGTGCTTGACGCAACGAGACAAAAACACCCCACCCCCATCCCCCAATAGATCACCTCACTCTCAAATTATACTTAAGAGAGAGAGTAAAATTCGAGCTTTCACTATGTAGAATGAGGACAATTTGTATGGATATACAGCGTTACTTCTCTATTCTGTATAGGCGACGTTTCGACATAGATTGTAATGTCGTTCTAACGCGACGTAATGAGATCACCGAAAAATTTGTCGTTTTGTCCCTCGTCTGTTCCCTGGGAATGCTATGCTGGCGCTTCACTGCTGGCACTTAAGCTGGGCCCCGTCTCGCATATCGCAAGATGGCGCGCGCAAAGGGAGCCGGGAACCAGCGTATGCTGGCACTATACAGTTCAGTGAAGCGTCAGCGCTGCATACGCAGGGAACCAGGGAACCCGATCCGAAGTTCGATACCCACGGTGTGCCGGTACCATACCTAAACTATTGTCCGAAGCACAGGCAACTTGTAACGCAAATAGGGTATCTGCGCTACAATTTGCCTGTGGTCCGAAGAGACTTGACACAGACGGCGTTACCAGCCAGTCATTACGTCATAGGAACAGCTGCAATTCGGCAATTACTCTGTATAAGGAAGTATCAAATTGGGAATCTCAAGCTTCGAGTTCTCCCTTTCAATCTGCCACTACGATTGATCAGTTTCCTATCTCTTCATCGGAGATCAGAGTTTGATAAGGAGTGATGGACACCTTCAACGACATAAATATGCTATTGAGAGGCAGATGTCAAAATAATCCGTAAAATCAATACATGTGACACCATATATTTACAAGGTACACGCACGCGCGCGCACACACATACACGCACGTACGTACGCACGCACGCAGGCATGATGCAGAGCAAAACCTTATAGTAGAGCTGAGTACTTGACCCAAACTTAATACCTCTCCAGCCATTGCGCCATAGTAACAGTCGCGATGTGGCAAGTAATCTGTATGAGGAAGTATCAAACTGGGAATCTCCTTTTGAGGGGCAGCTGTTGTCAAAATAATCCTTACGACCAACACGTCACTCCATACATTTACAGTGCGATCGCACGAAAATGCGCACGAACACACGACCCCGAAAGCCTGCACATATTTTCCAAAGCCCCTGACTTGAAGGACACCCATGAATCAACCTCCCTGGCGGAATATATTTATAAACGTACCAAGTAAATACATTATAAATAACGAATATTTAGCCTCTTTAGTATTTTTGGACATATTCTATGGATTATACACATGGAAAAACGTATCGCAACACTCCATATTTTCCATAGTATCAAAGTTTCATAATTTCGAAGGAACTTGGAAAACCTCAATTTAACTTAAATTGAACCTCGAGGAATATTTAGATAGCGCCAACAGCACGTACACAATGTAACTTGGCATTGATCCATGAAGACTGACCATGAGTTCAGAGGATGGTCATCAAAATGTGGTACAACAACCCTATCTAGGATCTCAGTGATGTACCGTTGTCCTTTCAGACTTTGTCAGATGAACGGATGAAGTCTTGCGATGCGACCCGTGAAGGTCCGAGATAGAATTGATCTTCAGTAATCAATAAGAGGTTACTAACTGGATCGGGTGGTCAGGCTCGCTGACTTGGTTGACACATGTCATCGTATCCCAAATGCGTAGATCGATGTTCATGCTGTTGATCCCTGGATTGTCTGGTCCAGACTCGATTATTTACAGACCGCCACCATATAGCTGGGATATTGCTGAGTGCGGCGTAAAATTAAACTCACTCACTCTTGTGTTGCTGAGAAGGACTGTATCCTCCCTTTTCACACGTTTTCACTTGTGGTCGTACTTAACTTCATTATAGTGCTTATATTGTCTGGCCAATCTGAAATTGTATCCATTTAAAACTTGATAAATTATGATATGGTAACACATCTTCAGGAAAACAGCCACTTTAAGCTAACCGTATATGCACTTGATACATGAGTAACCATAAATTTGGTTTTCATGGCACCAATCAACCATTTTGCAAATCATGGCATGGGTCATTGACAAGTACACAACACCTGTCAATAGCAGGTAGGGGATCCACAAGATGAAATGACATACTGAAAACTTCGATCCATGCTTACAATAAGCTTAGATATTTAAACCAAATTTGACCCCACATCATAGTTTTCTGTTGAATCAATGATTCGATCCTTAGCAAAGTATGAATAGTATATTTGCTTTACGACGGATACCTGTATTGCGCATGATGCTCACCTTTGATCGTATATGACGGCGGTCTGTAAATAACTGAATATGTACCAGACAATACAATGATCACCAAGTGATGTATGTCTTTGCACTGAATTACTGATCTGAGTTTCCACGTTTGTTTTTGACAATGTCAGTGTGAATTGTCTCACCCAATGAATCCTTCGTGTCATTGTCAAGGCGGTGGGGTAGTGGGTAAGGCCTTCGCTCGTCACGCCGAAAAGCCGGGTTCAATGCCCCATATGGATGCAACGCGTGGAGCCCGTCTCTGGTGACCCCCGCCATGACGTTGCTGGAATGTTGCTGAAAACGGCGTGAAAACATACTCACTCACTCCAGTATGTCCAAAACCTTGTAAGCGCTCGTAAAATATATCGAACTTGTCTGCACTCACAGATGAACACGCTCGTGAAGAGATTCCTTTTGTGTACACGGAGGCGTTCTGTTCTTTAGACAAGATATATGTAGAGATTGTAACATGAGAGTGTGTGTCATGAGAGCTGGAGCTGTAATTATTGACTTCAGTCTCGCGTTTTGTAATGTCAGTATGATAAGTTCTTTGAGAGGCATTTTAGAAGTTGTGAAGATGAAGGAAAACTAAGTTCTATGGATAGTCAACTTCTTTATTGCAATGAGTGCGATGTTTTGGTGTAGGTACTAACACCGTTATCAAGCAAGTGATACAACAACTGAAACAAGGAGAATATATACATTGCTGCATAGTGAGTATATACAATTAACAAGGTTGATGTACATTGGATATTTGAGTAGTGATTTCAGCAGAGGAGGTTGATGAACAGAGTGATTGATTGTGGTTAGAGTTGAGTTTATACAATTGATGAGTTTGACCTACAATGGGATGATGATAAGTAAGTAGGTTGAAGTACACAAGTTGTGATTGCAAGCACAAACGGGAGCGTGGAAGCCATATGGACAGAGGAGGTATGAAAGGATTACTGGTGGTGGTCTTTGATTAGGTGGTGATAGGCCGAGGAGATGAAATAACCTTGATCACGATTCATGGTGGGGTTGTGGCGGTTGGATGTTTATGGCTTCAAGGAGTTTCCTAATCTTGTAGTCTTCTCGGTTCATTTCCAGGATATCGATGTTGTTCCATAGGATAGCATGGTCAGGGTTGGCTTGGGTGTGGTCGGCTATGGCGGATTTGGAGTCGTTTTCTGGACTGACGCTTTGTGTTCTATAATTCGTAGTGGGAGCGGGCGGGATGTTTGACCAATATAGAAGTCTCCACATTCACAACGGATCTGGTAGACTACTCCCGAGAGGTCATCTTTTGTTGTTGACGGTGGTTTGCCTGTGGCCTGGAGGAGGTTCTGGATGGACTTGCCTTTCTGGAACAGGACGTCTATGCCTGCTTGCTGCTGAAGGAGTCGTCTTATCTGGTGGCTGACTGCTGGGACATACGGGATACTTATTACAAAAAGGTGCTGATTGCCGGCTGGGAGGTTTATCTCTTGGGTTGAGGGTGGTTGTGATGACAGACAGACAGACAGATTTTATTGACGCAAGCCACATGGGCCTCTGGCCATAAATACAATACAGTATAGGTAATATTTATGTTGGATGGTGAGGATGACATTATTAATAAGTTAAAAGTTGTTTCTTAAACGGAATGCTTGATTGAATGATTGATTGAAACATATTTTATTCAATTAAGAAACGGATTGGGCACAAGTTATCCAACTTAAATAACGGAGTGCTTCATACACATATCTGCCTAGAAAGCGTTGAGTGTTAATATTTTCTGATGATAATAACTGTACACATTTATAAACTGAATAATTTTTACAATAATATTTCTTTACATGAACAGATCTTAGGTGAGTGTACGATGGACACTTGAGTAAAAAGTGAAATTCGTCTTCTATGTCATTAAGATTACAGTTAGTACAAATTCTTTCATCCCGTGGGATTTTATTGCTACCATGTCTACCAGTTTCAATTAATAATGTCACAGTATGAGATGACAATCTTAATTTACATAATGCAGACCTGTGGTACAATTTAAAACATTGACTAAATACATTTCAAAGCCAAATTTTACCTTAAATTGTTTGAATAACATATAAGTAGTAGATGTCCTCATCTCCTGGTACCAATACGAAATGAATTCATCTTGCAGTCGTTGTTTTAATAAAGACATGAAAACTGGAACATTTACCTCAAAGGGAGACAACCATGCATAATAAAAACCGTTGCTCATTAAGATATCTTTTACTTTAGAATACCAGCCAGATCTTTCATCTAAAATAGAATACACTATACATGGCATTGTTGACTAACTTCTAGGGGTACTGGTTATAATGGACGAAGACATGGCGGAGGTGGTTTAGTTCGGTTTCTAGGGCTTCTGTTGTCGGGCAGATGTTCTTGGCTCTTCGGGTGAGGGTGGATATGATGCCTTTCTTAACCTGTAGAGGGTGGTTGGAGGTAAAGTGAAGGTATTGGTCGGTATGGGTAGGTTTCCTGTAGACAGTAGTGGAGGGCTTGTTGTCTTCTTTCTTTACTAGAACGTCGAGGAGAGGAAGCTTGTTGTCAGATCCTTCTTCCATGGTGAACTGCATACGGAGATGTTGGGAATTCAGGTGGTTGAGGAGGTGTTCAGGATTGTCGTTGGGGTTGAGAACTACAAACCTTGTTAATTGTATATACTCACTATATATTGTATATATTCTCCTTGTTTCAAATTGTTGTATCACTTGCTTGATAACGGTGTTAGTACCTACACCGACACGTCGCACCCATTGCAATAAAGAAGTTGACTATCCATACAACTTAGTTTTCCTTCAACAGTATGATACATGATATATGTTGTAACAATGTCATTATCCACTGCCAATATACAGCTGTTGAGAAGAAGCTGTCATTTAACCGCAGTCCGTTACGCAAGCAAGCAGCGTAGCGCAGGGAAGCTTGCGACCTTTCGCTGAACAACGTGCCCCAGGTTGCGCTGTATGATGTAAAAGTCACGTGAACAAAAAAGGTTCCAGTGTAGAGTCCACCCAGTTGTGTTTGTTTGTTTGTTGTCTGTTGCGCTCAGCAATATTCGAGCTATATGGCGGCGGTCTGTTAATAATAGATTCTGGACCAGACAATCCAGTGATCAACAGCATGAGCATCGATCTACGCAAATCGAATACGATGGCATGTGTCAACCAACTAAACGATTCCACCAGTCGCCTATTACAAGCATGGTTTGCTGAGAACCAGGATCTTCACGAGTGAGTCCATCCAGTGATGATGGAGATTACTATTTCCAGTACAACGCCCCCCACCCCATGCCGATTATCAAATGGCTGGTCCCATGTCAGGCGTTGCACGGATTGCAGTTAATGTGAGTCTTGATAAAACACTGCGAATACACAATGCTACAGCGACCTAACCTACTCAGCCAGCGAGGCTTCCACAAAAAGTTGTTTGATAACTGGTAGTCTAAATTGCTTACTTTTTTCCATAAGTGTACATTGCCAACAGCTTTGAATACGCAATGCCTTGTAGAAAGTGGTAAAATGTACATAATCAGGGCTCCAGATAAGGGCCGTATCGGCGTATGTACGGATAAAAAAAAATGCACGATACGGTAGGAAATAATTTAGAAAACGTAGCAGATACGCACCACAGCAATGGTGTACGGTCTTAGAATCATTTACAGACGTATTTATCGGAAAAAAGTATTGTTTTATTGTTTATTGACCTGTTTACACAAGAGTAGCAATGTTGTGGTGCATATATGAAACGAAACACAAGATTACTGATAGTCCATTAGCTTCCATTCAGTACTCTAAACGTACACTTAAGGTTTTCCAGTACTCAATATTGAACAAATAAGGAGTACGTACTCCTGATGTTGAAAAAATTATAATAATATTTTGGATAACTGACAAAGTGTAACCCTAAATATTAACGTACTGTGATAAAACACATTTCAATTCAAAGCAAGTGTTTTAGGTGTTCATACATGTGTTCTTACTGTATGACGTATAGTATTTCTGTCATTAAAGAAGCGGAGGCTTGCCACGAAAGCATGTCTGATTACTTCGATATACATTTTTAAGTAAACGTCAGATTTCGCAAATACGTCAAAATAATAACTAACAAATCTTGGTTTACAAAACCATCACTCCAGAACGAATCAGTTGTATCCATCAGCGTTTTGGTTGATTTTTTGTGAAACCTCCCAAATTTTGCACCCCAGAGTCGAGTCTCCCTTTAATTAACATGCCGATTAACGCTATTGTAACATGAGGTCTACATTACTATACACAGAGAACTTAGAGAGAACCAATCACACAACCTATCTCCTCTATGCCATAAAATATCCCTTCCTGTTTACAGCCTAGGCAAGATGAATATAGTCTGTGTGTAATAGATCTGCAACAACAGCCGTTCTTGGCGCCACCAACATGTATTTTACACAAGCACGGCATCAAGATGAAACCCCATCTTGTGCACGGGAGGTCTCGCTTTGTATGGTATGAGCATCCAATATGAATGATGTGCGTTTTTAATTTGAAACAAATGGAGGACTGTCAGTCGCTATCAGTGTATGAGTCGCTCCTGGGTGAAACGGTTACTTCTGTGTTGCTAATTGTTTTTCTTTCAATAATCTTTTTAAGATTCACTCAAGCGTCGAAAGGTGGTTAAGTCCCCCGTAGTATCACCATAAAGATGTTGGAAGTATTGCTTGTCTATACCTTACCGAGCACGCAGCATTGATTTGATGAAAGGGGGATTTGTTAGAATCGGAGTCTGCACACAGTGTGCAGTGTGTACGAGTTGTGTGTGTGTGTGTGTGTGTGTGTGTGTGTGTGAGAGAGAGAGAGAGAGAGAGAGAGAGAGAGAGAGAGAGAGAGAGATAGTGCGTGAGTGGATAAATGCGTAAGCAAAAGGTAAGTGGATGAATCCGTGAGTGACTTCATTGTACCTGAATGAGTGGATGGGTGAGTGAGTGGATGGATGCGTTGGTGAGTGGGCGTGTACGTGAGTACGTAGACGGGTGAGAGGATGGATGCGAGAGAGAGTGGATGGGTGTAAGAGAGAGCGGATGGATGCAAGAGAGAGTGGATGGGTGAGTGAGTGGATGGATGCGTTGGTGAGTGGGCGTGTAAGTGAGTGCGTAGACGGGTGAGTGGATGGATGCGAGAGAGAGTGGATGGGTGTAAGAGAGAGTGGATAGATGCAAGAGAGAGTGGATGGGTGAGTGAGTGCATGAATGCGTTGGTGAGTGGGCGTGTAAGTGAGTGCGTAGATGGGTGAGTGGATGGATGCAAGAGAGAGTGGATGCATGCAAGAGTGAGTTGATGGATGAAAGAGTGAGTGGACAGGTGAGAGTGTGAGTGGATGGGGGTACGTGAGTACGTGGACGGGTGAGTGAGTGCGTGGACTGGTGAGTGAGTGGATGCATACATGAGTTCACAGTGCGTAATTAAGTTAGTAGGTGGATGTTGAGTTAGTGAGTTGGTGGGTATCTAACTGGATGGGTACGTGCTCGAGTGAATGGGTTAGTGAGTGAGGTACATGTAGTAGTGACCATCACTGCCCTACGTAATCCGTATTTCAACAACGTCCTGTGACCCAAGTCAGACCCATGGCCACGTCACTCCGGTGTGTCTAGTCGCAACAACCTTCATTTGACATTCATCCAGATAAATGTTTGTAAGATAAACGTGTAGCTGATGCCCACACAGAGCTGTGTTTGTGATGGAACTGAAGATACCACGGGGAATAAAGACAGAGTCTACTAAATTAAACCAGGTTTAGATAACCGGAATTGACGATACCGATTGTCCCAATGGGAAGCCCAAGTCGCAGGAAATATCAGCTGAACAGAAACTAGGCTGAACGTAGAACATATACCTCACCATGCATCGCTCTATTCCGACCAGGTACATGTATGTGTAGGTGAGGTGAAACTGGGCGTAACGTCTTGTCAAACAGTAACAACGCGGAGAGCTCTATGGATATACAATTCTTTAAGATAATATGAGCGACGTTTTGGTGTAGCTGCAAACACCGTTATCAACCTAGACTGTCTCACAGTCCCTGAACCACATTATTTTCCCTACCGCCTAGCCCTCCCTGCAGTGCTAAAGCCCTAAATGAAAGAAGTCTAGATTTCCTCAGGTTCAGGAATCTCTGGTCTTCATGGGGCTCCTTTTCAATTTAAATGGTTTTGTTACTATCAAAATTATATATATTTAGATACTAAGCGTTGAAACACCGAAACGTCGCTCATATTATATCAGTGAAGTTGTATATCCATAGAACTCTCCTTGTTGTTCATCACACCAACTTCTAAATGCCACTCAGAGATTACCTCACTATTGCTGTAACTACCGACCTCCCATTCAGGATAACGCTCTATTCGCTTGACCTTTGAGTCTGTCAACCGGCGGTGGGGTAGCCAAGTGGTTAAAGCGTTGGCTCGTCGCGCCAAAGTCCCGGGTTCGATTCTCCACCTGGGTACAATGTGTGAAGCCCATTTCTGGTCCCCCGCCCTGATATTGTTTGAGTATTGCTAAAAGCGGCGTTAAACCTCACACACTCACTCACTCACTCTACTTCGTACAATATGTTGGTCCACTGGAGATTATGAACATCTTCTACATCACTCACTCACTCACTCACTCACTCACTCACTCACTCACTCACTCACTCACTCACTCACTCACTCACTTCACTCTCACTCACTCTACTTCGTACAATATGTTGGTCCACTGGAGATTTTGAACATCTTCTACATCACTCACTCCACTCACTCACTCACTCACTCACTCACTCACTCACTCACTCTACTTCGTACAATATGTTGGTTCACTGGAGATTATGAACATCTTCTACATCACTCACTCACTCACTCACCTCACTCACTCACTCACTCACTCACTCACTCACTCACTCACTCACCCACTCACTCACTCCTCACCTCCACCTCCTCACTCACTCACTCACTCACTCACTCACTCACTCACTCACTCCACTCACTCACTCACTCACTCACTCACTCTACTTCGTACAATATGTTGGTCCACTGGAGATTTTGAACATCTTCTACATCACTCACTCACTCACTCACTCACTCACTCACTCACTCACTCACTCACTCACTCACTCTACTTCGTACAATATGTTGGTCCACTCACTCATCTCTACATCACTCACTCACTCACTCACTCACTCACTCACTCCTCACTCTCACTCTCCTCCTCCACTCCTCACTCACTCACTCACTCACTACACTCACTCTACTCATTACAATATGTTGGTCCACAATATGTTGGTCCACTAGAGATTATGAACATCTTCACTCATCACTCACTCACTCACTCACTCACTCACTCACTCACTCACTCCTCACTCACTCTACTTCGTACAATATGTTGGTCCACTAGAGATTATGAACATCTTCTACATCACTCACTCACTCACTCACTCACTCACTCACTCACTCACTCACTCACTCTACTTCGTACAATATGTTGGTCCACTAGAGATTTTGAACATCTTCTACATCACTCACTCACTCACTCACTCACTCACTCACTCACTCACCCACCCACCCACTCATGTCTCGTGCATTGCATGGAGGAGTTGAAAGATGATGAAGGTATGTTCATAACAAGTCTCCCCCCACCCCCACCCCCAACACACACAAACTTACACTAAGTAACACCGTTCACCATTATGAGAAACATCAGGCCCACGTCGACGATGTCAAACCCACGGACACCACGTGGAAACAGCATGCTCTGTGTTGACAGCCAACCGTGTTACGAACATCATTAGATATACACAAACCGCTCGTTCTACCTGTCAATACCACCCCTGATGTTGACATGTGATGTAACGGTTATGTCATAATCATAATTGAAGCAAGGAGTAATTGCGTGACAACCAGGATTGCCTCGTCAAAACCGTGTCAGACTGCACGATGTACGTATTAGAAAGGAGGGGTAAAAGTGGGTTGGTGATGGCACGACAGGTGTATTTATTTATTTATTTATTTATTTATTTATTTATTTATTTATTTATTTATTTATTTATTTATTTATTTATTTATTTATTTATTTATTTATTTATTTATTTATTTATTTATTTATTTATTTATTATTATCATGTTTATATTTATTTATATATTGATTTATTTATTTTCATTTATTTATTTATTTATTTATAGATGATCAGCATTTATTTATTTATTTATTTATTTATTTATTTATTTAATCTGTGCATTTTAAGTATATTTGATTATATTCATTTATTTGATAGATGATCAGCTTTTCACAGTAATCTTTGCAGAGGGTTTTAAAAGGCAAAGCCTGAACGAATGCAGTACGTACACAAAAGGGACACGTTCCATTACAATACCATTCTCCAACCAGGAGTTCCTCACGCTCTACCAGTAACTGTCTTACGGGGCGGTGGGGTAGCCTAATGGTTAAAGCGTTGGCTCATCACGGGTTCGAATCCCCACATGGGTACAATGTGTGAAGCCCATTTCTGGAGTCCCCCGCCGTGATGTTGCTGGGATATTGCGGCGTAAAACCAAACTCAGTCAGTCAGTCAGCAGTAACTGTCTTACACAGACTTGATGAAAGGAATCGTCACATCGCACGTGGATACTCCCAGGATTACAAATACAGTCAAACACCTTTGTTTCGAGGTTTGATGTGTCGAGCTTAAGGTTGTCTCGAAGTAACTGGTACCTGCACGATAACTCGAAGTATATTGGTCCCTTCAACTTCGACACAAGGGTATCATTATTAACAACCTTCACAATAATTCAAAAATGGGTCATGAAATTCATAATTGTATGGATAAGACACGTGGAGAACTACTTTTGTTTGAGCCTGCCATGATGTCATCTGTTGGTAGCATCTGTCGTGTAGTGTTAAGGAAGAAACCCACACGTCGTTGTTACTTCCTTGTAAAAGGTGAGGTGAGATGAAATTGGGTTTAACGTCGTGCTTGAGAATATTTCGCTCATATGACGACGTACATGCGTGTGTATGTGTATGTGCGGCTGCTTGTACTAGCCCAGACTGAAGCTGGTTTTATAGTGCTAGCACACTGAGATACCATGCCGCAGTGAAGCATGAATACCCCACTCAGACACATTATACTGACTCTGAGCCGACCAGTCCTTGTTGTACCCATTAATGCCGAGCGCAAGGCAGGGACCAACAAGTACCATAGTTTAACGTCTTTTGGTATGACGCGGTCGGGAATCGAACCCGCGACCTTCCGCTCTCCGGGCGGACTCTCTAACCACTACACCACGGAGGCGGTCTCCTTGTAAAAGGATGAAGAGTATTAAGATATATCGTTAAAACACAAACGCCGCGGTCAGTCAAAAGTAGTTTGAACCAGCCTAATTGTAATGCTGTATTCTTAGAAAAAGGTTTTCCACGGGTCTAAGATCTCCCACTTTATTGGAGATCACTTTCAAATTAAAGGAGTGAGCAGTTTCAGGTCACCAGTGCGATGTATGAAAACACCATGTCGCATCTTGCCTGGAATTTAGCCATAGGCGGAACCTGAGTGTGTGTGTGCGTGTGTGTGCGTGCGTGCGTGCGTGCGTGCGTGCGTGCGTGCGTGCGTGCGTGCGTGCGTGTGTATGTGTGGGTGGAGTTGGTCGTGGTGGTGGTGTATATGTATTTGCAGGGTGCCCCCTCCCTTGGTCCTGAAAGTTTATTAAATTACCTTTGGAACTCTCGTGAAAACGGGTGAAAATGAACTCCTCTCAAAAAGCTGTATCATCCCCTGTTATCCGTCAGAACTGCTGATAACCCAGCTTCACACAGCTCTAAAAAAAATCTATAGAATCATAAATGTGCCCAATCAAATCGGCCCCGTTTATTTAAACCTTCGCCTGCAAAGAGCTAAGATTCGCGAGATCGAAGGCCGAAATTGCTTCCCTCCCAAATTCAGCATTGCAAATTGATAGCTTTGTGTCTTGCTAGGACAGCCGTATCAGATTTACATTAGAATTGCTTGATGAAGATAATCACTAAACAAACCAACATGCCCATCGTGGATACTGTCAAGGTTATTGTCCTAAGACGTTGTATTAGTGGAGCGCTTGTTTATCACGCCATGCCTTGAAGTGCATGTCGTTGCCGGGATCGTGTCAAAAGCTGCGTGACTATTTTTATCGATCGACGGGCAGTGCTTTGCTAATGAGGCGTCACCTTCAGCCGTAGCCTTCCAACCAACTGCTGGCGAATTGTGTAGCCTTTATGTATAAGAGTACCGTAATGTCTTAAACGTGTTACCGTTGGAAAATGTCTACAGCGTAGATCGAGAAAAGAATAATTTGAGAATGTACCCAAGCACGAAAGTAACAAATATCATCATGTCTAATTTTGTTAAGTCTAGGAACAGAATTTCTTATTTTTCTTTAATTGTTTAATTGTGATACAGACTCAATAAACAGCTTTAAAAAGACTTTCATATGTTTTCTGAAGCTTTTTTATAAACATAAATAAAAACGAACTATTCTGATATTTTGTGCCTTCTTATGCAAGGGGAGGTCGGGTAGCCTGGTGGTTAAAGCATTTGCTCGCCTCGCCGAAGACCCTGGTTTGATTCCCCACATTGGTACAATGTGTGCCCATTTCTGGTATCCACCGCCTTGATATTGCTGGGATATTTCTAAAAACGGCGTAAAACCTCACTCACTCACCCAGTCTTGTTCAGCTGGTGTCATATGAATTAAATATATACTGCATATTGGAAGAGATAGACAATTTGAGCGATGCTGGTGATGGCATCGATTACGTCCTGGACCATCACTATTGACGCACTGTGACGTAATTAAAATGTGTTGCCCAGCGGCGTTTAACAAAACTCACTCATTAACTCACTTAAAATTCATGGGAGAGATTGTGATTTTGCTCAAGTCGATATCCTCAGAGATGACTGGTAATCTATTTAGATCAAGGTCATTGCAAAATCGGATTAGGCAGTCAAAATTTCTTTGTTGTTCGAGATGAGCTCGCTACGATAAGTGAGTGAGGTAAAGGGACAGAACGTCAATGGTTCTGCGTGCATTAAATTCATTTACGAAATAATTCCCGACTTTTACGTCACATTTTTTGGACATGCCTTATTAAGCTCTGAAATCAACACGATAGAGATCCACACAGCGAAGAGTGAGTGAGTTTAGTTTAACGCCGCTTTTAGCAATATTCCAGCAATATCACGGCGAGGGACACCATAAATGGGCTTCGCACATTGTGCCCATGTAGGGAATCGAACCCGGGTCTTCGGCGTGACAAGCAAACGCCTTAACCACTAGGCTACCCCACCGGGCCGCCCCTTACAGCGAAGAAGACATCCCAAGAGCACGAATAATCTGGAACAACTTTTCATTTGAAGCAAACCGAAGAGAAAGCTTATGAGTGTGTTTTTCCAGCGCATTATCTACAAAGTACTGATTACCAGTTTGATTAGTTTAAGAAGCCAGTGTTTATCAAAGCCTGGGCTACAGCATAAATCTGCCTTGGTCTAATGAAGCCAATCTCCCCCTTACCCCGGCAAAGCTTCTCTGCCACATCGTCACATCAGTGAAACAGGGAATTTATTTGTTGGCCATTTTGCCATTTTGGACAAGTATACACATTTTGATAAATCTATGTCATGAAATGTTAAGGCTTATAAAATGTTACATAATCTAGATTTAAACGCAGGCGTGGAGCGAAATGGGTTAATTTGAGCTTGACATGTGAAAACTGTTCTATAGTATTGAAAACGTAGAGCGTTTTTAATGTAAATATTTCACAACTCTTATATACTCTCCCAAAAAAGAAACGCATATAGGAATTTCAACTGTATTTTTATGTTTATTTTGAAACATCTTGTAGGCTTTATGAGTCAATGAAATATAGCGATATTGCACACTGGGAATGCAGACTTATCCGTCTTTGGCACCAACTCGAGGAAAGTCAGTTTGAGTGTCACATGGAGACGTGTGGTGACGCTGAAGTCAATACCTCGTGTGACCACCGTGGGCATCCAGAACTGCACGGCATCGCCTCGGCATATATGATTTATCTTCAGTTAGATAAATGGTTTAAGAGCGTAACATGGTCATCTGACTGGGAGTTTCATTAGTCGTTGAACGTCAGATGATCACATATTTTGTTGGGCTGTGGGGAAACCTAGTGGTCTAAGCGTTCGCCGAAAACCCGGGTTCGATTTCCCACATGGGTATGATGTGTGAAGCCCATATCTGGTGTCTTCCGCCGTGATATTGCTTGGATATTGCTTAAAACGGCATAACAACTCACTCACTCACTTTATTTTGTTAGATGATTTACCAAAGCGCTCTACTGTCCATTACGTCATTTACCACGAAAAGTCAAACTGATTAATATTGCGTGAATCCGAATCCATTCTCAAGACAATCCCCACCCGTGAAGATCTTCAGTAACCCATGCTTCTCGTATGAGGCAACTAACGGGATCGGGTGGTCAGGCTCGCTGACTTGTTTGACATATGTCATCGGTTCCTAATTGCGTAGAGACCGCCTCCGTGGTGTAGTGGTTAGAGCGTCCGCCCGGAGAGCGGAAGGTCGCGGGTTCGATCCCCGGTCGCGTCATACCAAAAGACGTTAAACTATGGTACTTGTTGGTGTCTGTCTGGCGCTCGGCATTAATGGGTACAACAAGGACTGGTCGGCTCGGAGTCAGTATAATGTGTCTGAGTGGGGTATTCATACTTCACTGCGGCATGGTATCTCAGTGAGCTAGCACTATAAAACCAGCTTAAGTCTGGGCTAGGTACAAGCAGCCGCACATACACATACGCATGCACGTCGTCATATGAGCGAAATATATCTCAAGTACGACGCAAAACCCAATTTCACCTCACCTCACCTAATTGCGTAGATCGATGCTCATGCTGTTGATCACTGGATTGTCTGGTCCAGACTCGATTATTTACGGACCGCCGCCATATAGCTGGAATAATGCTGAGTGCGGCGTAAAACTCAACTCACTCACTCACCTAAATGACATTTGACCCAAGTCACCTCAGAGAAGCGGTATTTACTCACTCACCCTTTACTCCTGATCGCTATTGAAGGTTTATTCCCCTTCGACGTGATTTGACCCAGCTCGCGTGACAGATCAGTGCCATGCTCAGGAATATTGAAATATTTACTAATTACACCCATAATTGTCAATATTCATGTTCTGTCTGCCCCACATGGCTTAATTTTAATTCTTTTTCAAGTGACAGTTAATCAGCAGAAACCACATTAGCGACGTTTGAAGGACGAGAAAACTGAGCACGGAGAATTTCTTGATTAATACACTTAACGCACACTGAACGAATTGTATTGATTTTATTTAGCTCGTGGTATTTTTTAACGGATGTTTACGTGATGTATGGTATTGTCATGTCAACAGCGCCTTTGTAATCTGCAACAGAATCACCACAAAGCTTTGTTTTTCATGGAATCATTGATTGATTGATTGTTGTTTAACGCCGCACTCAGCAATATTCCAGCTACATGGCGGCGGTCTGTAAATAATCGAGTCTGGACCAGGCCATCCAGTGATCAACATAAGCATCGATCTAGGCAGTTGGGATACGATGACATGTGTCAACCAAGTCAGCGAGCCTGACCACCCTATCCCGTTAGTCGCCTCTTACGACAAGCATGGGTTGCTGAAGATCAATTCTAACCCAGATCTTCACGGATTTTTCATGGAATTAACGAGGCAATACCCTCCCGTACCCAATACTTTGAGTGAGTGAGTTGAGAATTACGCTGCATTTAGCAATATTCCAGTAGTATGACGTCGGGGGACATAAAATAGGCTTCACACACTGTACATATTTCGGAAATCGAACTCAGTGCTTATGGCCTGAGGAGTGAACGCTTTCACCATTACGATACGCCACCGCCCCAGATCCTTTCAGACTTGAGCGCGGCGTGGTAGCCTACTATAGTCTGTTTGCAGTGAAAACGTACCGAAGAATTTCACTTTAAACAAAAAAGTAAATTAAATAAAGTGAAATTAAGATTGCGAATCCTCATAATTGAACATTTAAATCTCAAACTTTTATTCAAATTAGGATAAAAGTTGTTTAACAAACGATCATAGATTCAAATCGCTATTACTGGTTTGTATTACAAGGGGGTACGCACAGTAGTTGGAACAGTGAAACAAATGCACGTGCGGTACGTGAAGAGCGTTAACTTATAACAAACCTTGTCGTTTTCGGTGTTTCATTTGATGTGTATACCCCCTTGTAATACAAACCAATAATAGCCATGTGAAACTATGATCGTTTGTTAAACATCTTTTATCCTAAGTCGAATAAAATTCTGACATTGAAATGTTCAATTGGCAAGGTAAAATCATGAGGATTCGCAGTCTTAATTTCACTTTATTTGTTTTACTTTTTGGTTTAAAGTGACAGTCATCGGTACGTTTTCACTGCAAACAGACTATAAGCTAAGTGGTCCCAGCGTTCTGTAGTCATGGATTCGATTCACCACATGGGTTTAATGTATGAAGCTCATTTGTTTTTCCCCGTGGTGATGTTGCTGGAATATTGCTAAAAGCTGCTTAAAACTAAATTCACTGACTCACTTCATTCAGATTCGCTTCCAATGATACAGCGATCGTGCGTGACAATCTCTGGTCTGTATGCTTGTGACTGACTGAGTTTTAGTTTTACGCCGCTTTTAGCAATATTCCAGCAATATCACGGCGGGGGACACCAGAAATGGGCTTAACACATTGTGCCCATGTGGGGAATCGAACCCGGGTCTGCGGCGTGACGAGCCAACGCTTTAACCACTAGGCTACCCCACCGCCCCTGTATGCTTGTGTGACATACTACCCGGAAACCATCACAATTCCATTATATATCACCTTTATATAACCGGATTATTGCTCAATACGACGTAGGACAATCGCCACTAACTCACGCGACATGGTATAATCAATTCGTTAACCGCAACATCGCTTGGGGCGTTGGGGTAGCCTGGTGGTTAAAGCGTTCGCTCGTCACGCCGAGGATCCGGGTTCGATTCTCCTCATGGGTACAATGTGTGTAGCCAATTTCTGGTGTCCCCCGCCGTGGTTTTGCTGGAATATTGCAAAAAGCGGCGTAAAGCTAAGCTCACTTACGCACAGGAGTTACATATCTTACGTGAGCGATATACTCTTCAGAAAATAGTAGGGGAACTTCATTTTTAATTAACGACTGAAAAGAACAACAACCGGGAGATATATCGGAGTCAATCAATGGTGATGATGATAATGAATGTGTTGAGAATGCATCACCACTTGCACTTCCTTATGACTATGGAACCGCCTCCGTGGTGTAGTGGTTAGAGCGTCCGCCCGGAGAGCGGAAGGTCGCGGGTTCGATCCCCGACCGCGTCATACCAAAAGACGTTAAAATATGGTACTTGTTGGTGTCTGCCTGGCGCTCGGCATTAATGGGTACAACGAGGACTGGTTGGCTCGGAGTCAGTACAATGTGTCTGAGTGGGGTATTCATGCTTCACTGCGGCATGGTATCTCAGTGGGCTAGCACTATAAAACCAGCTTCAGCCTGGGCTAGTACAAGCAGCCGCACATACACATACACACGCATGCACGTCGTCATATGAGCGAAATATTCTCAAGCACGACGTTAAACCCAATTTCACCTCATCTCCTTATGGCTATGGTTGTTTGTACCGTAATCGCTCTTGAAAGATGAATGGTGTTTGACGTGAAATTTGCATGTGTACGATTTTCATTTATAATAAATTTCCATATAAATAAATAAAATAAAATAAAAAAACCGGCTGGAAACAGACACTAGTTAACAACTAGCAAGATGATCGCCAAAATTAATGGTCTACAGTGATTTATTGACCTTCTTGAAAACCGTCAAAATCAAGAATGACCCCCATGCACGTGTATGGGCCAACTGCGTGTGCACGTGCATCCCATGCATTGTGTTTAGGGGTGGTGATATAAAGAGAAATGGTGGTGCGTTCATGAGATGTCTGCCTTTGAAGAATTTGTTAACGCTTATACTTCCTATCCAAATTGAAATTTCAGGAGTCCCTATTTTTTTAAAGTGTAATGTTAATGTCATACGTAGGAGACTTGGTCATACGTGAGAAAACACGTCATACGTAGGAGACTTGGTCATACGTGAGAGAAACACGTCATACGTAGGAGACGTGGTCATACGTGAGAGAAACACGTCATACGTAGGAGACTTGGTCATACGTGAGAGAAACACGTCATACGTAGGAGACTTGGTCATACGTGACAGAAACACATCATACGTAGGAGACGTGGTCGTGTTTCAGAAAAAACGTACACAGCAGAATATTTCTCCTTATAAAAATGGCCTATAAAACGTTTGCAAATTTGATCAAAGATAGACATCTGTAATCAACGCTCCATCGTGACAGCTTCCACGAACCAAGTCCCATCGGACTGCCGGAATGATTGGAACCAAGTCTCCCTGGATCGGGATGGCAAATCGGGTCAGCCAACACATGCTATCTGGGAAACAGATTCCTTTCTCTTTTTTGATAAGGGTCAGAGTAAAAAGATTGAGAAAAGAAGTACTCGGACATACTTTCCAATAAAATATAGAGGTCAAAATGACGCGCCTTATCTTTCTGGAAATACCGTTCCGTCTGAACCGTAATCATTGACTGGATGAGCACAGTTGTAGAATCTCGGAAGCAATTTTTGAGTCAGTATTGTCAATAAGGGCAAAGGTCACGCGGGAGTCTGAGTCTTTTGATTTTTAGCGAAATGATCAGAAATCTGAACTATTATACGTCTGTGAGTCACCTTAGTTATGTTAGACTGTGGAAGTAAAATGCAAAAGTGAAGATGACTCGCGCTATTTCCTCTAACCAGTTTAGTAGAAGTTGATTGACACTACTGGAATTCATTTCCAGGCTATTTAGTCTCTGTAATGTTTCATGTTTAATAAATGTAAAAAAATATTCTCTTTATCACAAACCTGCTTTTTAAAATAAATATATCTCAATATGTATCGAGAAGTACAGGGAAAGCACATCATCATGTATGTCTTGACATCCGTTTTCAGATTACCGAAGAAGAAGATTGTTTTATTAACGTGTCAAATATTGCATACTACACGGTAACATACATAATAGTAAAATAATATGCAATATCCGACCATAGAGCCTACGAGACACGAATGTCTTCCATAAAAGCATTAAAATATAAAAAGTGATTTTAAAACATACATATCACAAAATGCTAAAATCATATCACTAAAGATTCACACTCCTGAAAATTTGCCTACGTTGAAATATAGTGGAAATAGTAGCAACTAGAGGTTTACATAAATAAGTACATTGCATTAAGTAAATGGCTTGTTCACTTGGGGATAAGATAGGAAACTACGGATACATACTGAATGCTAGTCTCTATAAGTCCTAAAACGTTTAGGAAGGGCTTGTTATCTTGGACAACGGTCAGAACCCGAGAATAGTCATTCCCTGAAATGTAAAAGGAAATGATACCTTCCAAATTCCACTATATATCACTGGGCATCATTAATTTGTTTTCCATTTCATATAAAACTCTAACTGAGACAAATGTGTTCCTCCATAATGTGCGAGTTATTTAACTGTAATTCGTTTTATTTTCAATTCAGCATTTCAACTCTCATAAAATTGTGAAGCTGATTTGTCGGACAAGCTGGCGCGCTCCGCGCTATCATCAAATTGCGCAAACATTGACAGATAATGGACGGAGCCCAGTTTTCCCGTCACATCGGTACGTACAGACTGGCTTCAAATAAAACATCATGTGCAGTCCGAATAATTTCCCAGTCTAACATCTGTTTCGGAGACGCAGTTGGTACATGTAATGCAGACCGGTCACTTAAATGATCAGTTTGCTCATAAGTAATTTAGTAGCCTCGTAACGGGACGCTTGGTTCAACACGTGTAACTTGATATGTTTACAGCACTTAAGTGTCCGGCTATAAAAACGCGTTTCATTATAACACACAGATTTTAATCATTATTTTCCCTGATTGAACGGACTGGAAGTAGGTTTATGTCGCTTTAGGGACGTTTCACGACGTCAGCTTGTCCTCGTATGAAATACATTTGCAAACAATAAATATTTTTTTATATTTTAAACAAGAACGTTTTATTTTATTTGATATGCGCCTGATTGACAAAAGCAGCTTGTCATTTGCGGTAGATTATTTGGGATACCAATCATATCACTGTCTCTCTGTTTCTCCCCTGCCCCCAAATTTTTGTTAATCTCCAAATTTGCAATTGAGTGAGTGAGTTGAGAATTACGCTGCATTTAGCTTAATATTCCAGTAGTATGACGTCGGGGGACATAAAAATAGGCTTCACACACTGTACATATTTCGAAATCGAACTCAGTGCTTATGGCCTGAGGTGAACGCTTTCACCATTTGGATACGCCACCGCCCCAGATCCTTTCAGACTTGAGCGGCGGTAGCCTACTATATATAGTCTGTTTGCAGTGAAAACGTACCGATGAATTTCACTTTAAACAAAAAGTAAATTAAATAAAGTGAAATTAAGATTGCGAATCCTCATAATTGAACATTTAAATCTCAAACTTTTATTCAAATTAGGATAAAAGTTGTTTAACAAACGATCATAGATTCAAATCGCTATTACTGGTTTGTATTACAAGGGGGTACGCACAGTAGTTGGAACAGTGAAACAAATGCACGTGCGGTACGTGAAGAGCGTTAACTTATAACAAACCTTGTCGTTTTCGGTGTTTCATTTGATGTGCATACCCCCTTGTAATACAAAAAAATAATAGCCATGTGAAACTATGATCGTTTGTTAAACATCTTTTGTCCTAAGTCGAATAAAATTCTGACATTGAAATGTTCAATTGGCAAGGTAAAATCATGAGGATTCGCAGTCTTAATTTCACTTTATTTACTTTACTTTTGGTTTAAAGTGACAGTCATCGGTACGTTTTCACTGCAAACAGACTATAAGCTAAGTGGTCCCAGCGTTCTGTGTAGTCATGGATTCGATTCACCACATGGGTTTAATGTATGAAGCTCATTTGTTTTTCCCCGTGGTGATGTTGGAATATTGCTAAAAGCTGCTTTAAAACTAAATTCACTGACTCACTTCATTCAGATTCGCTTCCAATGATA